GCATAATAATACAAAATTTTAATATTCAAAGATCACAAGTGTTAAATGTATCTTAATATAATAATTTTTTAAACTAAAATTCTTAAAAATAATAAGCGAGACTAAACACACAAGTTATTTATCAGTGATAACCCTATCTTGTGTGAAATTCAATTGATCGGCAATGTCAGAGCGACAATGAAATAGATCTGCACAATAGGTAGCCCTTTGTGTGGGATCACTTGGTGACCTCTTGTGACGGCATTGACAACTAACTCTAATGAATAACGTTTCATAGTTGTTAAGTTTTAATGAGACAGATATTGAGAATGAGAGTAGAGTTAGGATAGAGAAGTTCAAGTACTAACAACGAAAAGTGGATACATAAAATATATTTTTTTAACTTTTGAATTTAAAATTGTAAGAAAAATAATAGATTTAATTAAAATAATATAACATATTTAATATATATATATATATATATATATATATATATTAATACTAGTATTTTTAACTTATATACTATACGAAAGTATTTTGTCAAAAATACAAATTTTTGAAAAATTATTTTAATGAATTAAATATTTATAATGTATATAAATTTTAAAAGAAAGAATTTGAATAAAAGATAAATGATCACAATAAAATTTTATAATAAAGAAATATATGTGTATATAAAAAAATTATACTTTTTTTTTGAAGAAAAAATTAACAAATAAAAATTAACAATAATTTTTATATTTTATATCTTTTCAAAAACTTCTTTGAACATAAATAAATAGTAAGAATAATATTATTTAGATTCAATAAATTATAGTTGTGCTTGTAATACATATGTTGGATAGAAAAATATTATTTTAAATTAAAATATAAAAAATAAAATTTAAATATTATCAATAAATAATAAGTTTATGGTAATAGTAGGTGATTGTAAAATTTATAAAATATTTACAATATGTTTATTATTTATTATTATTCACTTTATGATTTAAATATCAATGTGATTTTATTAACAAAAATATTTGTGTGAAAAATATTTTATGTGTGTCATATATAAATAATATTTTTAAAAAAAGTCAATCTCATATCAACTATGTAATAATTAAATGATATAAAATAGTAAATAAAATTTTCTATTAAAAATATAAACCAAAATAAATTTTTTGGTTTACTTTATTATTAAATATATTTTTATATTAATTTTATATAACTTCACATAAGTAATATATTAATTCAAAAATTTAATACATAGTTGTAGAATAAAGTTCAAGCATATATATATATGCGCGGTTATGGGGCGGGGTGAGTACTTAGATAACCATACCCATTAAAATTTGCGAGTTTTTACTCACACCCATACCCATATAGCGGTAAATACCCTACCTATTGTGGGTAAATTTTGCGGGTGCCCATCGTGTACTTACCCATTGTCATCCCTATATTGTAGGCGATCATACCGCATGTAATTAATGGAACTATAGGATAAAACAAGATAAGGGGTTAGGTTAATCACACTTAATTCCTCTCTTTCAACCGTTACTGAATTAACAAACTCATAGGGTCCTTATGCTTTCTCGACCATTTGCCTTGCATGATCATTGGGGGTGATTGCTCAGGAAAAGAATATTAACATTGCATGATTATTGAGTTTTAATAGAACTAGCATTAGTAGTTGGCAAATATTCAGATACTAATATGGGGTTAAAATAATTACTTATGCTCAGCATGATGATCGCTAAAATTTGCATAAAGATTTATTGCTAATCCTCATCAAAGTATGCAGAATTTTTGTGTAGTCTAGGGTGCAAGCCTAAGTTGTCTCCGATGACTTTAGTTAAAAATATGCATTAAACATGTTACAAGCATTCACTATGAAAGCAAGTAGAAAAGGGGGTTTGTTTGATTTCCAGATTCAATGTAAAAAGAAAGAAGTAAAATGGTAAAATTCAATCAATAAGATGTAACAATCCTTAATTCGTTTACTTGATTCTATCCCTATTCCTCTCAACATTTAACACTCTCTCTCTTCCTCTGAATTAGATTAATTCAACAAGCGAGATCAACCTTAAAACCCCATACGAATTTAAGCAAATTCAATGGACTCCAACCCCTTTTCCCAAAATTACGCAACCTTAGAAATTAACTTAAAATTAAACAACTCAAGTTAAGAATCTCATTAAAATGAATTAGGGTTAATTAAGCAATGTCTCCCTCATTCAAGCATTAATTCAATTCAAGGAATTGGAAGAAAAAAATTCATGAAGGAAAAGGATGGGTTTCACAAATACAAGATGAAAACAAAGAGAATTCAATGACATGAATGTAAAAATGAAAGGAAAGTAAGGATAAAATGTGAATCAAATCCTAGGTTGAGTCCTTGGCTGTCATCCAAGGATGACCTAAGCTCTGCAAGTGTTCCCAAAATGGCAAAAATCTAAAAGTATAAAAGCTCTCTAACCCTAATTTCTAAAAATTTATTTATAATGAAGTGGTCATTGCCCATAGTAACTACTATGAAAATTATAGTAGCTACGCGTAGCCTCCCAGTCCTGTCATTCCTCTCTGGATTTGTCACTATGGAATCTGAAAGTGGCTACGTGTAGGCTTTTTTCAATCTGGGGTCTCTGTAATGTTCACTATTACTCTGAAAGTGATCACTTTGGTCTGCCCTTTGGATCTAACTTGCTGTAGTATCCACTATCACTTCTGAAAGTAGTCACTTTCAACTCAAATTTTCTCAACGGCTAGAAATCCATAGAATAAGTTTAGAAATTCCTGCACAATTATTCAAATGATCAAAATTACAAATTATATCTATGTAAATCAATGTAAATTAACCAAAAATTAAGAAACATATGATATTTGGCCAAATTGATATTTCTATGTTATTTACAATTCCTAAGTCTACTTTTTCTATTAAGGAACACTAAAAAGACAAGTAAAAATCCAATAAAATGTGGATTCATTAAGCGATACTAATCTTGTTGGTCTTTTTATCTCATTAATCTCGGGTCCCTTGCTGTGGTATTGTCTCTCAATTTATTCTATTATTCTCTTAACCAACACTTTGCTTAAGGACAGGTAAAAAGATAAATATGGGAAAGTTGATAAGTTTGTAATTAGGCCTTCTTTTATAGCCTATATATTGATGTTTGACCTTTATTTTATTTGGGTTTTATATTGATTTATTTGTATATTGTGCAGTTTAGCATAAAAAGGCCACAACTGGGTTTAAGATGTGTTTTAGGTCCAAATTGGTTGCAAAATAGAGCTTTACAGCAGTCAAGAGGGCCAAACCCTATCATCAAGCATGGGGGTGTTTTAAACACATGCACTGTTGTGCATATTGACTAGCATGCCCATGTACCAAGTTTAAGCACAACTGTGCTTATCTGCGGGAAGCCTAAATATGACAAACTTTTAAAGTTTTCAAACCCTATAAAAGAGGGACCTAAGGCATCTAGTTGGACATCTTGTCTTTTGCTCTTTGATACACCTTTCATATCGTCTCTCTTGAACAAGATTTTTGACATACTTTTGTCGGGACTTAGAGCTTTGAGCTATCGTACTTGAAGATTGGGAACTCATCTCATTCTAGTTTGTTTTTCTCTATAACTTTGTTTATGATTGTTTTAGTTTTTCTCTTTAATATGAATAACTAAGTCCACAACTAAGACTATGAGAATACTTGTTCATAAATTTATAGAATTTTAATGCTTGAATCTAAATTTGGTTTCGTTTCGTGATTAATTTTTATCCTATTGCGCATAATTATATAATTCTAATTAATTATATTGTCAAGCAACCGAACCTTGATTAGCAATGGATCTATAGGATAAAACGAGACAAAGGATTCAGTAGACCAAACCAATTTTTCTCTTTCAATCGTTATTAAATTAATAAGTTTATAAGTGCTTTATACTTTCTTGAATTAATATTTTGCATGATCATTAGGGATGTTAGTTTAGAGAAAAGAATATTAATATTGCATGACCATTGGTTATTAATAGTAATTGTACAAATGATTGGTAATCACGAGAAAATCGAACTTAGAATTAAACAGAAAAATAACCTAAAAGATTGAATGAGAAAATCCATATGTCCTAGGTTATTCTCCAATAATTTTAACCAAGACATGCATTGTATTCCTTATTCTTAGTTTTATAATTGATTTTATAAATTCTTATTTTAATTAATCTATATATCTTTGAAGCACAAACAATTGAATTAAGAAATTCTTAGTGATAAAAAAACAAACCTTGTGGGATGATAATCTAAGAAATTAATTTAAGAACCTTTTATTACTTCTTGATGGGTACACTTGTTCACAGAATGCACATCATAGTACCAAATCCTTCTATCTCTAATATCATCCTTACCTGCAACAAAAATTCAAATCTTAGGACAAGTGGGTAACCAAAACAACTAAGAGCCCCGTAGACCAGAAGATTAATCAATGGGATATTTGTGCCACGGGGTGCAAAGGATACACAGTTTTGTAGTTGTATGGGTGAACTTTCTTCATGCTTTGCCATAGGTTTTACCAAAATTGACTTCAAACAACAAATAAAGGAAAAGTAAGAAGAACACCTTCTATTTTCACATCCAATATAAAGTTTCAATCCCTCCATCAACATAAAGTAGAATAATATTTTTCACTCATAAAGATAATTTTTTTAATTCACTTTTATGTTATTTTTGTTAAATTTACTCGAATAGATTTTAATTTGCTTAAATAGTAACAAAATTAGAGATTTAGTTTTCATCAAAAGATTTAAATTTGTTGAAATTATCTTATTAATTTAAAAATATATTTTAATTTTAATTTATTAATATTTATGTAATGATACCAGAAGTCTCGCCGAGTATTGCCTCTAAAAAATATTTAAAGAATAGAAAATATTTAAAAAGAACATATTATATTCTATTAAAAATCATTAAAAAAAGTTTATTATTGAAATTTTTAACAAATATATTTTACTTAATTCTTTAATCAGTCGGGTGTCTATATGCTTAGGTCGAAGCGATAAAGGCAAACGCGGCACACTAACATGTTTTCAGAGTTCCAATAGTTGCGGAGGATACAGTAATTTGCTGCGAACGCCACTGCCACCATTTTCCCTCCTTCATGTAATTAATCCTTTTTTATATGTTTCCCTTCAAATTCAACCATTTCACATTTCAATGTTTCGTTCAAAAGCAGTTTCGCTCACTTGAGAATCGTTACCTACAAGTTATATTAGAAGGATTCCATTTTTTTTAACTATTTATTTTATAGAACGCTATTTCATACCCATGTTTAGGAAAAATAAATATGTTTTCTTTTTCAATCGTTCGTAAGTTTTGATGTTATTATGACTAACAACAAAATTGAGTAAACATAAAATTCTATTTCCTTTCATTTGATGGATAAGCTATGGTTTGCTAAAGGGATGATGAAATTGTTTTATGGTTTTCTGGAAGTTTCATTTACTCCAATGTGAGTTCTAATATCATTGAAAATTGTTGCAGTTATTGGTAGGATCATAACTGAGGAATTTGTGTTGGTGAGGGTTGTTTTCTGCTTTTGCTGAGAAGGATCAATCAATTGGTATAGCTGTAATGGTTGCAAACCACTATTATCCTCCTTGGTTTAGGTGGGGAAACTGTTTATCTCTTTGGTTTTTTTCATCCTTTTCTTGGATTTTGCTTGCGATATCTTTTTAGGGTCAACGATTTTAATGATCTTGTTATTTACTTGGATTTCAGTGTGGCTCCAATGATGGACTGGACAGATCATCACTATCGGACTCTTGCACGCCTCATATCAAAACATGCTTGGCTCTACACGGAGATGCTTGCGGCTGAAACAATTGTTTATCAAAAGGGCAACCTGGTGAGTAATGAATAAACTTGGAAGGACTGATATGTGCCAGGACCAGTTATGTTAAAACACTTAAGCTGCTAGGTAGAGGCTTATTTTAAAGCTTACAGTTCGAACCACAATTATTTAGATGTATTGAGGGGAATGAAGAAGAATTCTACTGTTTCTGTTCTTAACTACCACTGTATTGATATCACAATGATGTCAGTAGCAGAACTTCAGTGACAATACAGTATTATGTGGTGCTATTCTGATCCAGTTCTATCACTTATGAATGTCTTTATATCACACGCTTTCATTGAAGAACCCTTTAGACTTGAAGATTGGATAATTCATAGACCCGTTATACCATATGCCGAAACCTCTTGGCCATAGTGGCTTTGACTCCATGTCAAAGATCAACTGGAGCTTAAATTGTTAGTTAGAGAATATGGCTTTATATTTCTAACACAATTATTATTGTGCTATCTGTGGTAAAATATATTGCATAAACTGACTTTTTTGTTTGAAGTTTGTTAAATATATACGGGTGTTTCTGTTAGTCATGCTCTTTACATAATAAAAGTTCAGAGTACCTTTCTTTAACAGGACAATATTTTTTCTTTAGCTTTGGGTTGATCTACTGCATCTCATTGCAAGCGCACAAGAGCAAAAATTGATGGGGTTGTACCATATCTGGACAGTTTGTTTCTGAAAAACCATTGATTCTTTTTTGCATATTTTGCTCAGGACAGATTCCTAGCATATTCTCAGGATCAACATCCTATTGTGCTTCAAATTGGAGGGAGTAATTTAGAAAATTTGGCAAAGGCAACTGAACTTGCAAATGCTTACTGTTATGATGAGATCAACTTCAAGTTCGTCTATTTTTGTATCATCTTCATTCTTATAGTTTCATTATTATATTGATATTTGACAGATTCCATTATTTATTTTCAACATATACCAGCTGTGGATGCCCAAGTCCTAGAGTAGCTGGACGTGGATGCTTTGGCGTACGTCTTATGCTTGATCCCAAGGTTAGAAAATCATCTGTACATAAACATGACATGCAAACAGATTGAATATGTAAGTATTCTTTTCATCAATTTGCATTAATGTGGAACTCTAATGTATACAAGGAAAGTTTGTTGCTGAGGCTATTTCAGTAATTGCTGCCAATACAAATGTACCTGTCAGTGTCAAATGTCGAATTGGCGTGGATGATCATGATTCTTACAATGAATTGTGTAAGGTCCATTTTCAAAAACATTCTTTGTATATTCACACTGTACAGATGTAAATTAGGACCTTTAATATTGAGTTTGTTCTTGGGGAGGGAAGGTTACACCATTCAAAGGTCAAGGCACACCACAAGCCTTACCTAGGGCTTATTGTCGTGCTTACAAATGACCTACCACTATCATGGAAAAATAGTAAGCCTATGATAGAACCCTCAAATTTATACTTACAACAGAGGAAACTATATTAATTAAAATATGAATTTCAGAATTAATATTCCAGTAGAGGTAAACCCTAACCAGCCCAGAGCCCAGAGCCTCTGGTGCCTTCAAAGCAATGCCCTATGCATTCTCTGCCAAGCTAAACAGCTTCCAACAAACTATAATCCATCCCTCTTGCTATCCCTACACTCTTCTTATATATCCCTTCACATGCTACACACACTCCCCCAATTATAACTAACACATTTCATCTACCTGGGCCTGGGCCCTTTTTCCTGGTTCCTATCAGCCTACCAGATAATCATTATATATGTTAAGTATGGCTGCACCTGCATGGCTTCCATCTGCTATATTTCAAAAGGTTTTGCACTTTTGCTAATTGCTGCTAACTTGTTTTTAAAGAATGTCTTTCTTAAAATGTAGGTAGCCTAATTGATTAGGAAATAATGTGGGTTCTGGTCATACCATACTCAAAATTACTACTTATTAATTTCAAAATAGTGACCTGCGATTAGAGCAAGTAATTTTTATTTAAGAAAGTAGGTTTGTTATTGGTTCTGGGAGGGTGGAATTTGGAAGCTAACCATTAATGAAAATGAATAACATATTGATAGACTGTAGAAAACTAGGAAGCATGAATAGATGTGTTGTTGGACACAAGGATATGGCAAATTTTAAAAACTATAGGATAAATGACCACAGAACACAAAAAATTAGGACAGATTTGTCATACGGAGAATGAAAGTGAATGAATGTGGAGAATTAACTCCTATGGTCTGAGGAAATTAAAGTCTTACTCTCCCAAGTCCTAAGCATGTTATTTTTGTCCTGTAACTATTCTAACTAACCAACATTAAGAGTTTGCTTACAATACCCCCACCCAAATGTTTCATTGTCCTTAAGGGTGAAATCTGGGAAAATTATCATCCATCCATGATCCTGCAGTTACCCAGCATCCTCTTTCCTTGTTCTTGCATAGATGATCTGTATTGTATTTTCTATACACCTTGAGCACAACCCCTTCTTGATTTTCTCCTTCAATTCTGCATCAGGAAAGCTTTTGAACCCTCTTCCTTGGCTTCTAAATATGCCATTGATCTTGCTGTTTGCAAAGTCCATTACTCCACTTCCCATTTGCTGGTTAGTCTGTACAGGTAGCCTTGACCCATCTTCATAGGTAGCTATTTTGGAAGATGAACAGGAAACTCCTTTTTGCTATCCCATTATCACTGTACAAGCAATCCCCTCCTTTGTTTAATGCTTGTTTCTTCTCATTGATCTAGTGAGCATAATCCACTGTCTATGTAAAGATTCTATGGGGTACAACTGCAATTTGGCCCTGACTTATTCTCATTCAAGACAATACCTAAGATGTTTTGGGTTTATGTCTGGCAAAGGACTCATGTAGCATTCAAATTTCAAATTGCTAATTTCAACTTGCTCCTTGACAGATCACAGACGTCATATGCCTCAACCCCACCGGCAACTCATTCATGTTTTACATCATTGAGAACTGGAATCTCCAAATGACTGCTGTCTGAAATTCAGTCCAAGGGGAGTTTTGTGAATAGAATTCCTGCTATTGAAACAAAGAATGCTTGGCCATCCATTTCTATCATCACCACTAGTAATCTTTCCCCACTGGATACTCTCTTAAGCTTCTTGGAATAGCACACCACTCTGTTGACCCACCTAAGCATCCTCTCTAGAGAACAAGGGAATGTCAAATTTCCACAAAAATCTTCACTCCTTCTAACTTTGAACCCAGTTTTGGCTCTTTAGGTGACCATGATCCTTATCCATTTTCTCCATTCATCCTACCTGCCGCATTGATTGTGCCAGACATTAATCAAGTTTCTATCTCTCTAGGAATTCCAGGGCATACCTTCAAAAATGCCTTGAAGCACTGTCCCTTTTTGCTTGTTGATAGTTGTAATCCATTTGTTTTATCCCCTCTGAGAATTCCAGCTGAGCCTCCATTGTTGTGTTTACCATGCAAAACTCCCTGGATTTGGGAGCTAAAATACCAATTAATAAAACAGGATGTAGAAAAAAAAGATTGATAGAAAGAGATAAAGTTTTATTGAATGTTAGTATGTTACTATTCTCCCTCATTCTGGCAATCTGGCATAAAGTTTTAACTCTTCCTACCCTTGGCTATTTTAGAGTCGTGGATCATACCTATTCTTGAAACCAAAACTGATCTCTATTCCTTCCGTCATCCCTTCTATTATTTATATTCTGTAATCCTGCTGTATCTTTCTTTAACTAATTGTTTAGAGCCTGCTAAAGATGTCGTCCTACTTTGTAGCACTTTTTTCATGTTGTCCCTCATCCTTTGGTTGTGAAATTTATCCCTGCTTAGGCACCTGGCTTTGCCTTGGTTACAAAGAGCTTCTGCTTTTGAACAGTAGGTAAAGTTTGTCCAAACTGTGCTCCATGTTGGCAAACCTACAGTGTTCAAGATCCCCTTGTAGCACTTTTTGATCCGTGCAAAGCCAACACCTTAGCGGTGATTATCATACTAAAGAATATAAGGACATGTCACGGTCTTACGAGAAAAAAATACAACATAGTGAAAAATAAATCATAAACTTACCAGTGATCCCAAACAGGTTATCCTATATAGATTTTAAGCTAGATTAGCACTGAATGAACATATTTGGAGAAATAGCAATTTTAGGTTTCTGAACTTGTTACAAGCCAGTATTTCATTTGTATGGATTCTGTTATGTCCATCTATTCACTGAAAGACTTGACTTAGGCAGAGCGTTTTACTTCCAAATCTGTTTGTCAAGGAAAAAATTTTAAGATTTGTTAAATTACTTTTGGGCTTGTTTGATTCTGTTCTTCCACACCCCCCTCCCCCCCATTTTTTGAAACTATTTTACAAAACAGTTTTGAAGAACTAGTTTTCAGAAGAAAGCAAGTAAAAAATCTGCTTGGTAATATTATTATAAAAACAGTTTTAGAGAGAAGAAAATAAAAAACTTGCAAGATAAATTTATTTTGAAAACAATTTTGCTAAACAAAAAATATTTAAAATCTCGTTTGATTGTATTTGAACTGTTTTTTATGAATTTCTTGAATTGGGTGGAAGATTTAAATATTTTTATTAAACTGTATGAATAAGAATAAAACTAATCTTATTACAAACTTGTAAATAATCTTATCATAAAAACATAATAATATTTAGAATGATTGCAATTTCAACTTAATTGATTAAATCTATTATCATAACAATTGAATAATTCAAAAAGGTCTTTAAAAAATGACTGTTCTAGCAACTTAATATTAATAGTCACAAGAATGAGGGTTATACTTCGATGCTTCTTGATATTGGTTTTTGTTGTCATTTAATCTTTAAAGATATAAAACAAAATATGCATTTAGCAATAGGTTGCAGCACAAAGGTCTCACCTTTTCTTTGTACCGCCCTCAATCCCCATTGTTGCAATCATAAAACCTTTGCTACTTTTGCTTTTGAAACCCCAGAAAGACAAGCTTGTTTCTTTTTGTTTTTCCATCAAGTTGTAATTACAGGAATGCCATTAATGAAAACTGCTGTTATCAGGTGTTTTCAATGGTTTTGACTTGAAAACTAAAACATGAAAAACAAAATAGAAACAACTTTGAGGTGTTTTCAAATTTCTGTTCTAAAAACAGAAAAATGAAAAGTTCTTTTAGAATCAATTTCACAAAACACATATCAAAATGTTTTTTTTTGTTTTTGAAAACAAAAAATAGTTCTTAAGATAGTAAATAAACAAGCCCTTCGCCACTCTTCTGACTTTAATTGCTGTTCAATAAGATGTGCACATTTTCACTATGTTTGGTTGGGTATAGTTACAGAGGAAGGAAATAGAAGGGAAGGAGGTAGGAAGGAAATACTACTTTTTCATTGTTTGACGGGTGGAATATAGAGAAAGGAAGTGAATGGGGAGTGGGTTTCACTGGGAAAGGGTGCTGCATTTTCTTTTTCTTTTTTATTTATTTTTAAATGATTAAAAACACTTTTTTTATAACCTAAAATATATAATATTTTTTTAATATTAAGATGGTATGATAAAAAAATTAATTTTTGAAGTTAAATTTATTTATTTTAATTAGTATAACAATATTTTTTACTATCTATTTATTTCTTTCCACTCTCTTTTCTACTCATCTAAACAAACTAAAAAGAAATTTATCCACTTAATTCTTTCTTATTGTTAGCCATCTAAACAATACATCTTTTCAACTCTATTTCCTTTTCTTTACATCCCTCTTTTTTTTTTTTTCCCCATTTTTCTTCTTTTCTCCCCATTTCACTTATCATACAAATAAAGCATCTGTGAAGCAGTTGTCCTAAAGCTTATTATTACTGAGGTGTTTTATTAGCCATAATTTTATAGTAGGTTATCTTATTATTTCCTTAAAATGTTTGTGCCTGTTTCGTTGGGTTTTACACATTAATTAACCTTTATGTTGTCACTTTTGTCATCTATCAGGTGATTTCATTTACAAGGTTTCTTCTCTATCACCTGCTAAGCATTTCATTATTCACTCAAGGAAGGCACTACTTAAAGGCCTCAGCCCAGCTGAAAATCGAAATATTCCTCCACTGAAGTATGCGTCAGACTGCTGGAAAATTTAATTTTTGATCATTATATATATAATTGGAGATTACACACATTTTTTTGTGCAGATATGAATACTTTTATGGCCTTCTGCGTGACTTTCCTGACTTAACATTTACAATCAATGGTGGTATTACTAGTATTGATGAGGTTAGTTGTTATCTAAATGATCATTCTGTGTCATTGAGACTTGGTATTCATTGTAGAGAAACTTCCTGCTGCAATATGTATTTCCTACTCTTTTACGATCATTCAAAATATGTTACTGTATATTTAAAGTGCACATTTCTATGTTGCATGGGCAATGAAAGTGACACCAACACCAACACAAGGACTCACTTCTAAATGTTGTCAGACATGGCATATACACATGCACTTGCACTCACATCATACACACATTTTTGGGCACGTGGTTGACATGCAGGCACTGCAGCTATATCATGTGTTCATGCTTTATAGGCACATTTTGTACATGTGTGTAATAAACTTCATGTATTATATCCTAAAGTTATTCTTTTTTTTTTTCACTGTGCTGTTTGTATGTACAAGCTTTGTTGGGTTTTTAAACTGTCGTCTTTCTATAGGTTTAGCATGCATCTAGGTATGAAAATACTGTTTTCATTTTGATCTCTCTCTGGGTGGTAGCTATCCATATTTAATGTGTTGCTTTGGCTAGAACGGGCCTTGGTTTTTGTCTTTTTTGTTTTTAAATCATTGGATTTTAAATTTATTCATCTTTTGATCGGGAGTGGTTGAATGGGATAGACATTTAGTATAAATTTTTCAAATTTTTACTAGTTTTCAAAATATGGTCATACTTATAGTTAATAGATCAGTATTTTTGGTTGAGGCAACTATAAAGCTGGACATTTTCTCTAGTTCATGGAATAAAGAGCAACTCTAGCACTGATTTCCTCCTGGGAGTATTTGGAGATCAATAAATTATTTTAGTAATTCCTTGGTTTAAATCCCAATTAAGACAGAAGTGCATGTTTCTAGATGTTCATTCACATTCAACATAATTGGATTACCCTTATATTTACTGAATATAGTGTATGCATAATTAATTGTATTTTTTGGGTTGGATTTTACTCTATAATGGTCACAATCTTGTAGAAATTCAGTATTATTCTTGAATTCTACTTGTGGCCAGTTTCTATTATTAAAAGGCTATTTGAGACCATCCTAAAGTCTCTTTGAATTCAAGATATAAGTCAACGAATATTGTTTTGTTCAAGATACCATTTAGCTTCTTCATAATGTTGGTCTGCATTTTTTGTGCTAAAATTGTGAAGATTGGCTTCTACAATTTTGCTGGTATGTCTGATGTTGTGCTATTTAATACCAAATCATTTCTTACGCCCTTCTTTCTGACTTTCGAGATGGTTTGGTTTAATCATGAACTTAATGAATCTATAGGCATCTTCTTGCATTGAAATTGTTGTTCTTAGTCTTAGTACATATTGTTCTGATGCTTCTGTCTGTGTTCATTTTCTTGTGAAATTCAACTGTAGATTAATGCAGCTCGAAAGGCTGGGGCTCATGGTGTTATGGTTGGACGTGCAGCATACAATAAGTAAGGGTCAAATACAAAATTTCTTCAATCCCTCCCCCTTATGTCTGTGTGAAGTCTCAAATGCTTTCAAACATCAGGAATTTTCTTTTCAGTAAAAGGGGAAAAATTTTTCCCCCCAACTCAAAAATTGACCATGAGATTTCACAAAATAAAAAAGTAGATTGTCTGTTTTAAATTAAAGTTGGACAAGAAGTGGAAGTCAACTTGAAATCACATGGTTTAAATCTGACGTTGGACACATTCTAAATCACATGGAAGTCAATTTTAAATGTGAAGTTGTAGAAGATGTTGGACACTTTAAATCACATGGTTTTGTTCATTCGGAAGCCATATGTTGGCACAATTGCACTTGGGAGTTATAAAAAGTCCAGACAGAGGCTATAACTATAATAACTTCAACTAGCGAAACCTAACTAACAGTAGCTGTCTCACTTGGCTCTTTGGACCATTCTTATTTCTTCTATCATATACTTTCCTAATTGGGGCCTGTTGCTAATACAAACCTGTTAAAAACAGTAATGCAGGGTGGGATCATGATCTAAACTTAGTGCATGGCATTTCATATGTTGCTATTGATGTGTTACAACTTAGTGCATGGCAAAATGATTATATTTGACAGCATGATCTCAAAGAATGTTTATAAAGTAAAGAGATAGAAAAAGAGAGGATGATAGTGTGAATATAGACTCGTCCAGGTATTTGAAAGACCTGGGCTCTCCCTCTCAATTCTGCTCCAAAGCCAAAGACTTCTCTCTCCCTCCGTGCTCCCTTCTTCTCTTAGTTACACCTTATCCCCTATCAGTTACAACCTGTCTAATCATGACAGTTACCAAATGTTATTTCTGTTCTTAGCTGATTCAAGCTCCACTGAGGTATCTAACAACTTTCTATTGAGATTCAGTTGTTATACAAAAGGGGAGTGACAAGGATACATCTCTTCTTGAGTGGGCAGTTATGTTGTTATGTCAAAACCAACTATCCTAATTTCTAAAAACATATATTGTTTGGTTGAAGTCTAGAAATGATTTTATATGCAACAATTTTTTTTTTCTGTTGATTGAACTTTCTCAATGTAATTTTATATAAATTGATACTTCCTAGCTTAAGTAGCCATTATTGATAACTTTTACAGCCCTTGGAAAATTTTGGGACACGTTGATTCAGCAATTTATGGGGTACCAAGTAGTAGTCTTACACGTCGTCAGGTTAGTCAATAGTCACTGAACTTTTGAATTGGAATGGATTAAGCTGCACGAATTCCTGACTTCACTTTTGACTTAGAGTATACTAATTTTGGTGTTGATGATTATTTTTTCCTCATTTCATCAAGGTCCTTGAGAAATATCAAGTGTATGGGGACTCAGTGTTGCAAAAATATGGACTTGGACCAACTGTGCGAGATGTTGTGAAGGTGGGAACAGACAAATATAACCCATTGGCTGATTTCCACACTTGTATTCTAACATTAATGATAGTTCCTCTATGCTATTGTATAAGCTGATATGAATGAAATGCATAATAAAGCTATATTCTTTTACATACATCATACATGTAACATAACTGTAAATAATTATAAACACATTTTTTTCCTTTTTGATTTCTTATTATGGTTCAAACTTGACTTAAGGGTTCTTGTTTTATATCAGGAGTTAAAAGATTGCACATGCACTGGAAAAAAAAATTCTACCTTTTTCCTGCCTTTCATTTGCATGAAGCAAGTTATATATCTATCAAAAATATTTACTTTTTTGCTTCCATTTTTAATTGGCTATTATTTAAGAACATTGTGTTACTTTGCTGCAGCCTTTACTTGGTTTTTTCCATTCTGAGCCTGGGAATGGACTTTGGAAGCGAAAAGCAGATTCTGCTCTCCAAACTTGCACGGTATAGTTCACTATGAGAAAAACAATTATTTGATTACTTAGGAGTTAGAACAGTATTTCACTTGCAGTTGTATGTAGATGTAGTTATCAACATCCAAAGATAAACCAACTTCAATAATCAAGCAAATATTATCTAGTCTTCTGAATTTGCTTTCGTTTTCCCCGATTCCTATTCATGTAAGGGGGATTGTTGTGTGTTAATTAGTTATAAACAGAATTAGTGCTCTTAATCTTGGAATGAATTAGTCGTTAATGGCACAATCAGAAAGTAATTAGGACGGCTAGTTATGTAATATCCTGTTAGTAGATTTATCCCATACACAGTTGTAGTTGCCACTTGCATACATCAGAAATTCCTGTTCATACAATGTGGAGGTGAGACACTGGCAGATCTATCCACCATATCCTTCCACGTTGTGTTATGGAAATCTGTTTCCCCTATAACTGTCATGCAGTTCTCTACATTTCTCCAGTAAATTTTAATTGAATGTTTGGACAAAAAAATAGTACCAAAAGCAAACCGAAACAAAAAAGAATATGGGAAGAGATTAACCTTGTAAATACTGTGGCAGTGTGGAGTAAGGTTGATGGCTAAAATAAGTCAAAAGAAGTCCATATATTATAACGAATGTATTTTTTGGTATGTGTCTGGAAATTAGGGATGTACACTGACTGATGTAGCTAGTTCCTTCTTTCCTCTTTCATTGAAGTTACTTTTATGCTATCGGACTAGTTTGGCCAACTTTGTACTATGCAGATTTTTTTAACCGATTTGTAAGCTATCTTTTGCCATAATATTTAAATCAAATCTCACCTTCGCATACAGTAACTGTTGTTTTATACTTCAGTTATTACATTAGTTGCTTAAAGCACTAACTGAATTATTACCATGCAGACAATTAAATCATTTTTTGAAGAAACCCTTGTAGCAATTCCAGACTCAGTCTTGGATTCAGCTGTTGCGGAACCACCATCTGGCCGTGGAGATATTTTTGCTAACATACACAGTTCATTGCCTCCTCCATACAAAACAAGAGAAGAGGATGCTGTATAAATAGATCAGTTATCTATGATAGGCAATTGACTCGGAAATCTAATCCATTCAATGTAGAAATTTAAGTTAAAACTAGGGACTGCAATTCTCTGGCTTTTACGTTTACTGATACTTTTGGTGAAATTTGTAATGTGTACTATTATTATCTGTTTAGAATAATGTTGGGTGGCATATATTACTCTGTATCAGATAAGGCCAACGTGGCATTTTAAAAGCAAAAAACAGAAAGGAAACGAAAATGTTAAAGCCAGTACAATCCTCATTTTTCTGATCTTGATTCGCATTTCATGAAGCATCTACATACGCCCTAGGACCACTAGGTGCTATTATATTATCAATTATTCAACGTGGCAACAGCTTATTGGTCCTTTCTTGAAAGAGATAAGATATGGCATGGTCCTACCACCAGTCCCCTTTTTTTGCCATTCACGTTCCATATATTCATTCTATGGTCCAATTACTTGCGCCATAGAAGGTAGCAAGCCAACTAGTTCAGGATTCAGATTACATTGCACAATGGCATCAATCACCATGACAGCCTCCATCCTTGGCTGCCCACCTGTCACCAACCAGTCGGCTGCGGCAACGCAGCGGAGACTTGTAGTCAATGCTGTGAGAACAGGTGAAGGGGAAAAAGTCAGTTATGACAATGACAAGGAGGGCAGCAATGGAAGGAGGAGCGTTATGTTTGCTGCCGCAGCTGCGGCTGTTTGCTCTGTTGCTGGGATGGCAATGGCAGATGAGCCTAAACCAGGCACTCCAGAAGCCAAGAAAAAGTATGCCCCTGTTTGTGTGACCATGCCAACAGCTAGGATTTGTCGTAAGTGAGGGGCTTGGAATTGTAGTTTACTTGTGTTTATTGGAAATGTACAATGGGGTTGTAATGTTTAGAATTTCACATGATCCTCACTGTACCAGTTGTTCATAGAAGTATCAACTTTGCTTTGTCTCTTTGGTGCCGCCAGTTTAATGCTCAACGAAGGACTTGATTGCTTAAAATTTTAGAATGCCACATTTCTTTCGCATTTCTATGTTCGCTTAGTTTGAAGTTGAGCTAGAGTTTACTCTTCTCCATTAGAGAGGAAAGAAAGATTTTCAGTCCATAAAGATGAAAAGAAGCAGGTTTTGCAGATTTAACAAGAAGCAATTTGAATTAATAAAAATTTTATTCCTGAAATCACTATTTTTGAATAGACCACCCCAAAATGGGGCTTATTTATTTTTTAATATTTTTTTGATAAAGTTCTATTTTTAGATGAAATTATAAAATTATATTACATATTATAATTTGGTAAATTTGGTCTATTATAAGGATGAAACTAACAATATTGTGCCATATATTATGTCAACCTAACATACGAAACTGGTTTTAGAAAAAAGAAGAAGTAATTTTAAAGATAGATCTTATTGAATGCGCATTTATTTCAAGTTATTGTATATTCATTTTTAAATAAGTCTGATATATAGAGACAAGTTTTGTCTCTCTCACCTATAAATTTTTTTAAAAAAATTCAAAAAAAGGTTCATACTAGCAAAATTTTCATAAATTAGCTTAGATAACATATAGCGTAATTTTATTAGTTTTGTCCATGTAGCAAACGAAATTTATTAGATAATGACATGTAATACAATCTTATAATTTTGTTTTTTTTTTTTAAAACGAAAGTTGATTAAAAAATTAATTTTATATGTACAACAATTGATAAAATAGGTGTTAACATGACAAAAAAGTCTTATACGTAATATGTTTTCAAAAAATATTATTTTAAGAATTTATTTTTTAAAAATATTAAAAAAATAAGTCACAAAATAGAAATACTTGATAAGTGTTTGAAAGTTAGAGAATTAGGAATGAGTTGAGGAAATGAATTGAGTTGAAGTGTAAAAAAAAATAAAAAAAATTAAGCTATTTGGATGAGAAATGACATAAATAAAAAGATGAGAAAAAGAAATAAATAAAAGGATGAAAAATAAAATGAAAAATATTTGATATTTGGGTTAACTAAAATAAGAATGATAAAAATTTTCTTTCACTTATATGAATAAATGTAAAATAAAACTGAAAAAATAATGAAATTATATTAAAAATATTTATAAAAATAAAACTTAATTTAAATAATTATATATTTTTTATTATAATGTTTTTCTTAATAAAAAATAATTTTATAATTTTTAATATTATACTTGTATTTTAGAAAAAGAAAATAAGGAAAAAAAAGAAAATAAAGAAAAAAAAACTCTCCTAGCAATCTCGACTCCCTCTTTGTCCACTGCTAAACATGGAAACTTTCTTCCTTTCTTTCCTTTTTCCATTTCTATACTTCCATCCCAACAGCCCCAAGTTCTTTTGTTTTTTTTTATTTTTTATCACACCACAAAAAATCTCGAATTGTGTGGAAATGAATAGAACCTGGAACGATTGGGCAGGAAAGTTTTTTTACTTTTTTTTATTTTTAAGAAATATTAAAATAATAAAAATAAAAATAATATTTTTCTTAAGAAAATTATTATAATAAAAAAATAAAATTTTAAGATTAATTTTAATTTGTCACAAACATTTTTAATATAATTCAATTATTTTGTTCTGCTGTCTTTTTTACTTATCTAAACAAGTTAAAAAAAAATTATTATTATTTATTTTTCTCTTATTTCAACTAATTTAATCATCAAATATTTTTCACTTTATTTTTCATCATCTTATTTCTTTCTTCTCTATTCTTCTTTTACCTTTTTGTCCAAATGTTGTGGGATATTGATAGCAAGCTAAATAGATCTAGTTAGTTTAAAGAATAGGTTGAATTGTGATATGTGAATTTTTTTAAAAATAAAATATTAATAAATATAATTAAAGAGAATCGACAGTGAAAGATGTGAATGTCTTTTTTGTAGTTATTTTTTCATATTTCATAATCAACACTAACAATATAATGTCATATGACACTGACAGTAAGAGTGACACATAATTAAGATAGATAACTCAATACATAGTTGACATTTGATATAGACTCTAAAAAGTAACGCATAATAAAAAGTAACGTGATATGAACCTAATCTGCATAAGGGTTGACTTAGGATCTTTCGGGTTAGAACCTTGTAGGAAAATTCATAAAATGGTGAAGAAAAGGTTCTGAAATGAAAAGAAAAGGTGGCTACCTAGAAATTATTAAATTCTGGAATTTGATTCTTAAAATTATGAGATAAACAAGATCAATATAAAGAAGGTGGCAGAAGAAGGTAGAGGTTGGATGGAGGAAGTATCACGCTTCTGGTGAAGGCGTCACACAAAGGAGGTGGAGAATCCTTTAATAAGCCAAACTTCTTGAATCACTCAAGAACACGGGAGAATCTCTCTCACAACTTAGAAGAAGAATGAAAATTAAAATTCTAGTCTATCTTTTTATTGATAAATGGCGCAACATATATATAAGCTTTAGCCTTCAGATTTCGGTTACAATTAGAGAAGCTTAAAGGATTACCAATAATTCCTAATTGATGATGTTATTAAAAAAACCAAATTGTAACTAAAAATTTATCCCTAAAGCATATGAAAAGTGCGCCTATTTGGTCAGCCAAAGGGTTGCATAATAGCCTCCAAAATTGGGCCTTATTACAACTAAAAAACATTAAATTAAAATAAGCCCACAAGTGGTGCAGCCCAAAAGAAGAGTTGGTAGCCATTTTGACAAGAAATTAGGCCTTTATTTGCTTTGGAAAATACTAAATAAATCACTCCATGAAGATGCTAATGGCGCCATTTCTATTTAGTCCTCCATGATGCAATTCACTAATTTGGGCTTTCCTTCTTCTAACTGAGCCCAACTTCAAGAATTGTTGTCAACACTTATTGTAGAGCATCTGTTGCTTTTCTAGTCCTTACTCTTGTCATTGGTCCTCTAAGCCCTTGAAGTGTCTCTTGGTCCTTGCCTTTGGTTATGTCTTCATCACTCCCTCCCTCTTGAAAAGAATTTGTCCTCAAATCAAAGTCTCCTTCATCTACATCAAAGAGAGATAAGTCAGACACATTAAAAGTTGAACTTATATTATACTCACCAGGCAATTCTATTTTGTAGGCATTATCATTGATCCTTTCTAGCACTTGAAATGGACCATCTCTTCTTGGTTGGAGTTTTGATTTCCTTTGTTCCGGAAACATTTCCTTCCTCATGTGTACCTAAACCTTTCCTTCTTTCTCCCTTTGTTGACTTGCTTAGCGTAGCTCTCATTTTTCTTTTCAATTTGAGCTTTCACATGCTCATGCAACTTTTTCACATAATCCGCTTTAACTTGCCCTTCCTTATGCTTAAACATAGAGATATTAGGCATAGGCAACAAATCAAGAGGAGTCAATGGATTAAAGTCATACACAATTTCAAATGGAGAACAATTTGTGGTACTATGAACAACCCTATTATATGCAAATTCAACATGAGGCAAACATGCTTCCCAAGACATGTGATTTTTCTTTAAGATAGTCCTAAGCAAAGTGCCTAATGTTCTATTAACTACCTCAGTTTCTCGATCGGATTGTGGGTGACAAGTAGTTGAAAACAACTTAGTTCCTAGCTTACCCCACAAAGTCCTCCAAAAGTGACTTAGGAACTTGATGTCCCTATTACTCACATGACAAGCATCATCAACCTCTTTGGAAAGAATGAAATATGCCATCTTAGAAAACCTGTCAACCACCACAAAAATAGAATCTTTGTCATTCTTTGTTCTAGGGAGCCCCAAAACAAAGTCCATCGATAAGTCAATCCAAGGATATTCAGGAATAGGCAAAGGAGTATATAAATCATGTGGCATCACTTTAGATTTAGCCTTTTTGTACATAATGCAATGTTCACAAAATTTTTGCACATCACGTTTCATATGAGGCCAAAAGAAATGTTCTTGCAAAGTTTCCAAAGTCTTTTTAACCCCAAAATGACCCATCAAGCCCCCTTCATGTGATTCACTAACAAGCAATTCTCTAATGGAACATTTAGGCATACATAACTTGTTTTCTTTAAATAAAAAATCATTATGCCTAAAATATCCATTTTGAGACAATTTTTCACATGCAGCATATATGTCACCAAAAGTCTCATCATTCACATACATTTCTTTCAAAGATTCAAGTCCAAGCAACTTAGTTTCAAGAATATAAAGCAAGGCATGTCTCCTAGATAAGGCATCGACCACAAGTTCCTTTTTCCCTTTTTATGCTTTATGACATAGGGAAATTGTTCCAAAAATTCAACCCACTTGGCATGCCTCTTGTTAAGCTTGCCTTGTCCCTTTAAGTACTTTAGGGACTCATGAACACTATGGATCACAAACTCTTTGGGATAAAGGTAATGCTACCATATTTTTAAAGCTCTTACTAAGACATACAATTCTTTATCATAAGTAGAATAGTTAAGGGCAACCCCACTTAACTTTTCACTAAAATAAGCAATTGGATGACCTTCTTGTAACAAAACAGCCCCAATCCCTACATTGGATGCCTCACACTTAATTTTGAAAGATTTAGCAAAATTAGGCAAAGCAAGAATGGGTGCATTAGTAAGCCTATGTTTTAGGGCAGCAAAGGCTTCTTCTTGTTTCTCACCCAATTTAAAACCCACATTTTTCTTAACCACTTCATTAAGAGGTGTTGTTAAGGTGCTAAAGTCCTTATCAAACCTCCTATAAAAACTTGCCAAACCATGAAAACTCCTCACTTCACTTACATTTTTAGGTTTGGGCCATTCTTGGATGGCCTTGACCTTTTCTTCATCCACTTGCACTCCTTTAGAACTAACAACAAAGCCAAGGAATACAACATGGTCAGTACAAAAAATGCATTTCTCAAGATTGACATACAATTGTTCTTTTCTAAGCACACACAAAACAGATTTTAAGTGTTCAACATACAATTCAAGAGTAGTGTTATAGATAAGAATATCATCAAAGTACACCACAACAAATTTTCCAATGAATTCTCTCAAAACATGGTTCATCAATCTTATGAAAGTACTAGGTGCATTAGTTAAACCAAAAGGTATAACCAACCATTCATACAAACCATATTTTATTTTGAAAGCCGTTTTCCAGTCATCCCCTTCTCTAATCCTAATTTGATTATAACCACTTTTTAAATCAATTTTATAGAAGTAACATCCTAGTTCTCAAAATCTTTCATATACTTATCCTTTTTTATCTTTATTCTTCCTTAACACTACCATTGTAAAAAATCATCATTGTTCAAGATCACACCATGATTCCCACGGAATGAGTAGCAGAGATAACTTGTTATCCAATGACAAAACCATAAATCCCTTAACACCATTAAGAACTATTATTTATGCTAGGCAAAAAGGAATCATAACACTTAAGAAGAGTTTATTTGACACTATCAATTTTTTTTTCAAGCCGAAACACTTTGAAAAGATCGATAGAAGGTTGAGGATGCAAGGGATCAATGATCCTTCTAAGGATTCTACACTCTCAAACACATCTTCAGAGATTTTGTAGTTAAAGAGTATTTTACATTCCAATAAACTCAACCAATCTTTTATTGTCATTATGAAACGACTCTAATCTTCTGGTTTGGTGAACCAAATTAGAAATGATTTTTCTCCTTCACTTTGCTCAACCTTCGCGCTAGCTAGACTCAAGTCTTGTAAACTAGGCGCAAACGGATAGATAACTCAAAATTGTAAGAATTGAAGTCTAATTCATTCACACAAGATAAATGTAAAGAGCAATTAAATAAGTTAGCACTTGACTTTGTGATTTTCACCAATAATAATTTCTTATAACAATAGTTTTTGATGATAGCTAAAGAAGAATAAAGAAGATGAATGACTTTATGAAAGATTTAAGAATAAGATCAACCAAAATAAAGAAAAAACACATGTCAAAATATAATGATGGTCATTCTTATCATGCAATTAATCATTCATGTTATATTTTATATCATATAACATGATATTTCAATAGTTTATTATTGTTTTTTAATAGTAAATTGATGAATAAAAAATAATTTTAAAGACTATTAAAAGATATTTTAAGTTTGCATCGACTAAAATATTTAATTTTAACAATTTAAAGAATTAATATGTAAATTTAATATTTTTTATGTATAATACGATTTTAAAAGAATAACATGCTATATGTGATGTAGTATGTAATATTTTTTACTTTTTTACTAAATATATTTATTTATATTATTAAATAAATTTATTTTGATAGCTAGTTTTTAAAGTGCATTATTTTGATAGATAAATTTTAAATATATTATTATGATAAGGAGGAATATGATAATTTTTCTAAGTATTAAAAATATGATAAAAATTATTATAAGTGGAAAGTAAAGGTGAAAAAAAAAAAAGGTATCCTATATTCAAATTTAAACCCGCTAATAATTGCATTTGCTTCTTCTTCGTTTTCTTCAGCTGCAACTTCTCGCTATCACTCAGTTCAGTGTCTGTAGTAGAGGATAGAGATCCTTTCAGAAAGGGAAACCTAGGGTTAGGGTTTTCGTTTTGGTGCAGAGCCATGGAAGCCGCAGTTGTTGACCCGGGCTCCAGCATCCTCAAAGCCGGTTTTGCAATTCCCGACCAAACTCCCGCCATGGTATGATGTCAGTTAAGCCCTCCAAAATTGTTTCAAGTTCTCATTTCTTAAAAAACTTTTTCTAAAAATTGCGTTAATTTTGTGTCTTATAGCAATGTGTTCCCTGATGATGGTTCTTTTGATTCAGATAATTCCCACCCAGATGAAACGAATGCTTGATGATGGGTCAGTGACGGATAACCCGGCAGTTGATGACGTTGCCATCGATCCGGTGTACCGAGGTTATATCAGAGATTGGGATGCCATGGAGGATTTGCTACATTATGTGTTGTATACTGGTCTTGGATGGGAAATAGGCAATGAAGGACAAATACTGTTCACGGATCCGCTTTGTACCCCAAAGGTTTTGGGTTTAGAAGTTTATGATTTTTGTTGTTTTTGTTCAAATTCAATGTCCCATTTTGATGACCTTCTTTTCAGCTCGTTTGGGCTTATAGCTGCAATAAGCAACTGTGAACAATGTTGGCCTTATCTAGATGATATTATTTTTGGCGCAATTCCAATGCCATGAATTAAAGCTTATGAAAATAATCCTTGAATTGTTCAAATTCCTTCCTACGTTACCATTTCTTGAAGTATCTGTTCCTGTTCAGCTTATTTTAGGCACATTATTTTTACAAGCCTTATTTGAATAAAGTACTTATATACCCTTTTATCCTAGTAGGGTCTTAAAGCGTCTTTGGAGTGTATGTATGTTGGCTTGTGTATTCATCTATTTGCCTCCTCCGTTCCTCCGTTACTCCGTTAAGTTTATTATGTACTGCCAGACAATTTTGATGACTGTTTTTTTATGCATATGTGTACTAGGTTTTCATCTAGGTCTAGCTAGGCCCAGGGAAAATGTGTGTTTTCGTTTATGATTTTAACCAACTGCATCATGGGTTGTCTATTTGATATGGTCCAGCTGCCTTTCCTTGAACATAAAATTGAGGGTAACAAGTTTGTAGTGTTCTTTGAATGCATGTTATTATTCAACTTTTTGTTTTCCAGGCTAACAAGGAACAGTTAGTGCAACTGATGTTTGAAACATTCAACATATCTGGATTTTATGCCTCTGAACAAGCAGTGCTGTCGCTATATGCTGTTGGACGTATCTCTGGATGCACAGTTGATATTGGTCATGGAAAAATAGGTATCTCTTCTGAAGGAGTGGGAATTCAAGATTTGCTTGAATATGAATAAATATTGCAATGAATAGATCGTTTATTTGTTTTATATGCTGAATGCCTGATTGTCAAATTTGAATGTGGGACTAAATGTCATGTCTAGCACTTAGTCATGTGATATTCATGCACTTAGGCCTCTATGAGTAACTAGACATCCATTGTGCTTATATCCTCTCTCTATGTTGCAATGGAGTAAAGAAATAAAACTAATTATTGTCTCTTGGCTCCACCTTCTTCCTTCTAGAATATACTTTCTCAAATGTCCAAAAAATTGAGCTTGGTCTCACTTGTTTTCCAATGTAATTAACTTGATCCCTTGGATTTCCCGATGTGATCTACCTAGCCTTGCAACTTTCCCACTGCAATCTACCTGGCTCTATGGCTTTCCCAATAAAATATAAAAAAAAAATAGTTCAACAATCTCTATGTTCTAGATGTCTAAAGACTCTAAACTTCATAAGGGGTATGTATTGAAATTCCACATCGATTATAGATATGTCCAAAATAGAGCATTAAGGGCTTAGACAATTCTTATGAGCTAACTTTTGGGATTGAGTTAAGTCTAGCACAATTTTAAGAAATGACAAATGAGAGATGAGCAATCTGTTGAAATTATAGTGTTTTAGGTATTAGAGAAAGGGAGAAATACTAACTCTTAATTTTATTAATACTAGATGATAATCTAATTGAATAAATAAGCATATCACAATATATTAGGAAATATGGAAGTTAATCCTAAGAGATAATTGATGATAGGTCTGATACAGTGATACATCTTTCCTTGAAAAACATAAGATACGAATGTTAGGATATATATAAATATTATAAAATTTTTATAAAATATAATAAATAATTAATTTAATTCAAAAAACCAAATTAAAAACATACATCTTAAACATTAGTATCTTGTTAGTACAAAATACTACAATATATATTATGGGCCTTCATTGAGATTACACATTACAGGTTAAAAGACAAAATAACACAATGCTTGAGTTACACCTCGTCAAGTGACTGACCTAAATGTTTGGTTGAGGTTGAAAAGGCATTAAATACACCATTTAGCTAACACAAAATTGACCAAATGACAAAAAATGCTCAAGGAATTGGAATGCATGTTAAATGGGTGAAAGTTCTTGGGTGTTGGCCATTGGGTGAGTGTTGCGATCTCCTTTGTTTTGGGTGGGTGCTTACAGAGCGTTGCAATCTCCTTTGTTTTGAAGAGTCCTAGCAAGAATCTCAGCAATTGTGGTATTTCCACTCATTTGATTGTGCATAAACTTAGATGTATAAAAATTTCGATGTATCAAAATTTTAACAATCATGTTCTTATCTTGTTTTTTTCAAATGGCAATATATTCATCTTACCATTATCATTTCTGTTATTACTTTTTTTCTTGTGGATTCTCTTGAAAGCTCAATATTCACTACCTTAAAGGATAGTTGTTTGTGGTCACAAATAACTCATGATTTTTTTTTTTAAATTTCAATCACTCAACTTGTATTGTGTGTGTAATATCTTCATTATTGTCCCTCATTCTTCTGTAAAATATATCCAAATACTTAAATTTACAAACTTGTGATATGACTTCATTTTCAAATTTAACTTTCAAATAATTTTCATTTCGTTTCTTGCTGAAGTTTCAATGCATATACTTTGTCTTGCTTACTCAAGCAAAAACCATTTAATTCCAAGGTCTGTCTCCAAAGCTCAAATTTAGAATTAACCTCTTCTCTTAACTCCTCAACTCAACCAAGATTATGTCATTCGCAAAAAAACATGTATTTAGGAAAAGTATTTTGTATGTCTTGGTAAGAAAATCTATGACTTGAGTTAAACAAATAAGGATTCAATGCTGAGTCTTTATGTAAACATATTTTTATAGGAAAGTCCTTAGTTGTGCCTCTCAAAATTTTCACACTTGTAGTAATCTGATCATACATGTCTTGTATAATTCAAATATAAGCCACACAAACACCTTTAGTTAGACTGCTTCATAGCCGACATAAGATGAAAAATTCATAGGTGTTTCATAATATTCTAAATTATTTGAAGCACAGTTTTTATATTATTGATTATTCTTCATATATTCTAATGCTTCCCTCAATCTAAAGCTTACGTTAGCTTGTTACAACTAAACTCCTATTTTACGTAAAATTAAAAATATAATATGGGATGTACCAAACATGGGTATAAAGGCAATTGAAGGATGTTGGAAAGACAACTCAACAAAATGGTTAGAGTGATATTGTGCATGACCAAGAAAGGAGAAATTTTGCTAGAGTAATCATTGGTGAAATTTCCAGGCAAGCTAATTATATGCAGTAAGAACTAATATTTTTCCAAATACATCAGGAACATTTGGAAGCTTGAAACCATTAGAAATTTTGGGTTCCCAAATAAGTTGAATGATATGAAACAAATTTGGTAAGAACTAATTCGATCTTATCAAGGCAATCTGTGGCAATGAATCCATGGCTTATCACTCACCTTTTCATCTATTTTCTTGAAAGTGATGCTAATATCCTTTCTTAAACCTGAAAAACAATGAGATACTTTTTTCATTTCATATCATTTGGTAATTAGAGCTTTGCTTGATTTTCAGATGTAAGTTTACCTTATTGTTTCTTTTTTTAAAACTACTCTTACTTTCTTAATAGCTCACAAGACAAAGTTGAGTAAGAAAAGGTAAGAGTGGTGATATTATGAGAAGAAAAAAGCCAAAATAGAATGACAAACGCAAGTGAACTGTGAGGTCCTATTTTCTATCTATCTTTTTTTCACCAACATGATAAGAAATCAAGAAAATGCTCTAGCAGGGTTAACATTATTTCAAATGAAAGTATTGTCTAATGATCTTAAAAGATTAATTAATAAAAAAAATTGAGGGAATTTGTGAACGTATGCATCAAATGGTGAAGCAAGTTGTGTCCTAGGTGAGAAAATGAACCATACGGAAACATGCTGGTTGTAAGGAGAGTTATAAATATGTAATTGATGGAGGAAACTGAATCTTAAAGAAAAAGCATTTTCTGTAATAGGCATCTTGTCCAAGAAAAAGGTGTGTGGCATGATCATAGATGAAAGTTGTACCAATGTGACTAGTACTACCATAGTGTAAAAATTGAACTTGAACGCCGCTGGACATCCTAGTTCTTGCAAGCTGCAATGGTTTAGCGACAATGATGAATTAAAGGTTGACAAGTAAGTTCTAGTGTCTTTATTTGTTAGAAAGTATAGAGATAAGGTTCTTTGTGATATGGTGTCTATGGAGGCAGAGTATATATTCTTGGGTTGTCGATGGCAGTTTGACTGCAAGGAATTAGAATATGTTTTTCCTGGTAAATTTCTAAGTGATGTTGAACATGATTCGAGTTCTTTAGGAGATCTATTTCAAATTCTTTTGTAGAGAGAGGGAATGAAATGACTCAAATAGTAACAAATGATCAAGGATTGATACAACTTAATTTGAGTTTTTCAAGAGTCTATTTCAAATTCCAAGTAGGCCCATTACAAGAACAAAAGTTAAAAGGTTGAAGGAAGCTTTAAATGAACAAGTTTAAGAAACTTGGGCTAGAGATAAAACTATTAAAAGAGATTTTGGTTAGATGCACTAAAATAAGGGATTGGACCTTACATGGACATGGTTTATTTGGCGTTATTATTTGCAAATCCAATTAGGATTTGATGTTAATTTCATTAGAAATTGGGATTTATTAGAATCTGTTTTACTTTATTTGGATTTGTTTCTTCTATTAGGAAGAGGATATTTAAGTGCTACTATGTGATGTTGAGGAAATAAATATTGTGTGTGCTATCTAAGTGCATGAGTAGATGGCTGAGTAAACATTTCTTTTTCAAAATAAGGTTGCTCTTGAACTTATTAGTTTCTGTCTGCTGCTTGATCTTTTTGACTTCGTAACCAGATATTGCACCGGTGATTGAGGGTGCTGTTAACCATATTGCCTCAAGAAGATTTGAGTTTGGAGGTATTGATCTAACTAATTTCCTGGCCCAAGAACTTGGCAAATCCAATCCACTGGTGAATATCAGCATCTCTGATGTTGAGAAAATAAAACAGCAATACTCGTGTTGTGCTGAAGATGAATTAGCTTATCAGAATACCCAAAATTCTTGTCCTGTGGAGACTCATACTCTTCCTGATGGACAGGTATGCTTCTTGGTTCGTCTATCTAATAGTTATGACTCAATGTGATGCTTGCTTATTTACTTTTTCCTGATGTTATATTCAATCAATTCAATGAAGTTTGTTTTACTGTAGAGATCTGACAATCATAGTGTGAATTAGGACTGGTTATAGAATAGGGAAGTGGATGCAAATGAAAGGGAGGGTGGGTTGAAGAATCAGTAAGGAGAGAGAAGGGCTTACTTTAGATTGTGATTCTTGATTTAAACAAAGCTTATGACAGAAGAGACTGGAGAGAAGATCGCTGATATTTTTTACGTTGGAATACATTCTGTTTTAATTCCTTAATGTCAAATGTGATCTTTTTGGCTGAATGGGCTGAACCCCGATATGAAAGGATGAACAGTGATTCATTACAACTCAAGAATGCTAGGATGAACAATATGTACCACAGCTCAACAAAATCCAAGGCTGAGCCTGAGTCCATGATGGAAACTTTGAACAGTTGAACAGCAGTTGACTGTAACTTTGAATGGTTGAACAATGGCACTCAAGGCTCCGAACAATTGAACCAAGAGAATAGGGGCTTCAAGCAGTTTATGTGGAGGTGGAAGCTTTGAATGGGAACAATGGCTTTAAGCCACTAAACAGAAGCTTCACCAAGTGGAATAGAAAAAGTTGAAAGTGTTAACTGTTGGAAGATATGATTTTCTAAATAATAATTAAATGCAGTTCATTTCCCTGTGAATAATTGAATTGAGCACAATTATTAGTTTGTTAGCTTACCTCTTGTATATAAATCATTGTAAGGGCACACTTGTATCATCTCTCATTCATTCTACCAATAATAAACTATGATTTCTTTTCCTTTCAAGTTTTTTCTTCTCCTTTGGGGCTTAACCATGTTTCTCAACAGATACTAAACTGGTTTGCTGGATACAGTCTTTTTTTGGTCAGTTTCAAATAGCATTTTTGTTTGGTTTATGATTTTTTGGTCCACCTATCCTACCTTTGACTGCCATACCAGTGATTTAATTCTCTCTACCTTGACTGTGTGCTCTCACATTCTAACTTTGGATCCTTGGCATTTTATGACTTTACCTAGTAGTTGAATTGTGTGTAGGTGATAACAATTGGAAGAGAAAGATATACTGTTGGTGAAGCTTTATTCCAGCCATGTCTATTGGGTTTAGAGGCTCATGGCATTGTTGAGCAGCTTGTCCGTACTATTTCAACTGTGTCATCTGATAATCATAGGCAACTTCTGGAAAATACTGTGGTTTGCGGTGGCACTTCTTCTATGATTGGTAAATCAATACTTGGTTGGTTCTGTTGAATCTAATACTAGCTTGATTAGAGCTTCTATTCTAACCTGTTATATATATATATATATATATATATACATTTTTGTTGAAAACATGATGGACAGGTCTATGCATTTAAATTTATGCTAAATGGAATCACAAACTTTTCTACTTTTATACTAGGGATCCTATGTTCTTGTTTGATTGGAGTGAAATATAACTAGATATTAGACCATAATCATTCCTATTGTCTTAAATGTTGACATCAACTAACAAGGCTTTCAACATAAGTAAATTTTGATGTGAAATATTGGGCAGGGTGATAGAACTGGTACCGATGTACAGAAAAGTGTTCTTGAATTTTTATTGAGAAAACCTTAATTCCCAAACCAGTACCATGTATATAATGATTCAGAATTTAGGTGAAAATGTTACACTGATTTCTACAGGAGTTATTTGAGAGAACTCCACTCTCCCAACCTTTCCAATTATCAATTGCAAAAACATACTTACTCACTAATCCTTCATATGCTTATTTATAAGAGTGACTAATACAAACATTACAGTTGGCATACCCACTGAACGGCTATTTATTCAATTTCCCGCCTATTCCCTTCCATCTTTTTCTATGGTACACCTTTGTGAACCTATCACAGGGCAGGATAAGTTTTTGAATGTGAGTGAGAAATTGTTTGTGATTGTCTTCAGGTATTTCCTGTTGTGGTTATTTTAAGGACAGGTTACATGTGGCTTCTAGAGCTGATACTGCTTCTCATAGGAACAATTGCTAGGAGGCAGTATTAATAATAACAAACAACAACAGTAACAACAAAATGATAATAATAACATCGATGACAAATTTGGAATGGTTAGAGGATCAATTCCTACTTTTTTGGCTGGTCCAATTTAGTTATAAAATCTATAGGGTAGTGAACGATGTATATTTTTGTTGAGATTACAGTAAATAGGGTAATTATTATAAATAAGGTAATTATGTAATTAGCGTGTTTTAAATAGCTGTAAATTATGTATTTAATGTGCCCAGTTATTATAAATAGGGAGTTCTGTTGTATATTCAAACACAGATTCAATTTATGCTTTCTTGTTTCTCCTCTTTTAACATGGTTGTGATGAGAGGGCAATCTTAATCCGTGCATTTACAGTGAGCCTACTTACTGCCCATTGATGTTAATTTTTGAGAAAGTGTGTTTAGTTTTTGGTATCTAGTTTCATCTTTGGGCGACTGTTTTTTCAATCAGTACTGTTAATCGTTTTCACCCACTTTTTCTACTGACTTTCCCGACCACCGACCAATGGATCTGGGTCACTGTCACCTGTGCAACCCAATCCCAACTGAACCATCTTTATCAGAGCCCCAACGGCCCCACACACGCTCCCACAACAATGTGCTATTTTTGTGTTCTATTGCTGCTTTTGCTGTGAGAGGCAGCGTGTCCAACTGTTTTTTTGACCATCATTCACGTTGTCGGCATCACTGCACGTTTTCTTTCCAGATCTGTAGTTGTTTTGTCTGATCCATGGTCCTGTACCCCATGTGGCACTTTTGGTTCTGTTCATGGTCGTTTTGTCTCTCCTCAGAATTGCCCATGGCTGCCCTTGACACCCTCAAGGCTGAACATGCCATCCTTACCAAACATGTCATTGCTCCTCTCTCTAGTGAGGAATTGGACAGTAAGAAGTCTTTGGCTTGTCATGCACGATTATGATGACCATCACACTAGTAAGGTTGATACTATTACTAAGACTGATTCTTGTTGGAAGGTTGATGCTCAGCTTTATTGCACCAATAAGGCTACCCTTCATCCCTCTTTTGGCTTGTCTTGTGTGCCCATGAGACGTGTGAAGCCATCTGGGGCACAGGCTAAGTCCTTGCACACCAATAGCACTTGACCTTGTGACCATTATTAATGCTCACTCTCTAGATGGCTCTCTGGCTACCTACTTTGGTCGGGTCTCAGGCCTTTCATGATTTCAATGAGCTCTTATCTCCTGTTGACAAAACTGGCAAGGAGCTCAAGCAATGCCAACAATTCTTTATGTTGTTTTACATATATGGTTTGCTAGAGGCTTATTCTCATGTTTGTGATCAAATCTTGAAGTGTCCCACTGTTCCTACTATGGACTCTACTTGATCCATCCTGCTTCATGTCTTGGCTAAGATATCGCCTGAGGTTGTTGTTTGTTCTCCTCTTTCTATGGACTCTTCTGCTCTAGTGTATCACCAGCGTGATCATACTCGATATTGCAAATTAGAGAAATCTCGTATTAAGTGTGACCGCTGTCATAAGCCTGGTCACACCATTGATTAATGCTACACTTCATGCTTGCCCTCCTCACGTGGCCACTGTTACTCACATTATTCTGCAGGTGCTTTCTGATTCTGCTGGATTGCTGCCTATTCCTCAGACAACGTTTGTCTCGTATGACGATTTTTTGAAGTAATGTCGTGTGATACCATTAGACCTCCAGTTTTACTGTGTTGGTTATGCTGACTGGTAATTCCTTTATTGATATCTCTCATTTTCCTTTGGGTCCTTAAATTCTTGATTATGGGGTCACTGATCACATTAGTGATAATAAATCTATTTTTTCTTCTACTTCTTTTTATTATTTATCTCCTATCACTGACTTCCTAAACACAACCCCAAGGTATTGACACTGTTCCCATTCTTCCTTCTGTTTTCATTGATGGTGTTATTTATGTTCCCAAGTCTCTTTTTGTCTCCTATTTATCAGTTATCTCGTTCACATTCTTCATTGCATTGCTTCATTTACCAAATATCTGTTTCTTTGCAACACTAGAGTTTGGAGAGGATGATTGGCTTTGTATGAGACTCGAGGTATACCCTGATTCTGACAATCCTCTCATTGGTTCCATGGTAGATTGTCTGTCATGGTTCATGCTTAATTAGGTCATCCTAGTTTTGCCAACCTGAAGCTATTAGACAAACATGCTGTAGTTTCTTTCTTAGTTTTCTCATTAGTTGGACTTTGTCCTCTTATTCTTGTTCATTCAAATGCTTGAGGTCTTAGTCGTATTATTTCTACTTTAGGGTCAAAATACTGTCACTTTCATCGATGATTTGTACATGATTTTATTTAATGAAAGAAATTTTTTCTTTTATTTTATCTTTCAGTCATTTTATAGTAAAATAAAAACTCACTTTGACATTTTTGTTTGTATTTTACAAAGTGATATTTGGTACCTTGTTCTTCTTCCTCCCAGTCAGTCTGTCATTGGGTTGGCTGCTCATGGATCTAGACAATTGGTCGATAGCAAAGTGGATCAGCTGAAGGCTCATCTGGTAGCCATAGGTTACGCATAGATTTGTGGTCTGGATAATGGTGACTTTCTTGTGGCCAAGATACCCTCTTTTTGCTTGTTCTTATTTATCGTAGCCATTTGTTATTGGTCCTTTCATAAATAAGATATCAACAATGCCTTCATTGACTTCTTAATTTAGTTGCATATGGAATTTAGCTTTTCTCTGATTAGCAAGATGCCCTCTATTTGCTTGTTCTTATTTATTGTAGCCATTTGTTATTGGTCTTTTCATCAATTAGATATCAATCTTAATTTAGATGCATATGGAATTTAGCTTTTCTCTGATTAGCAAGTAAACCTATTCTGTGTAAGAAATCAATTTGTTCAGTACGGTCATGGCAAGGGTCATCGCACAGCAATCTGACCACTTTTTTATGAGGAAGTTGTTGTTTTACGTGTACATTCTAGCATGCTAATATTGCTTCTTCCTGCAGGTTTTGAAGAGAGGTTTCAGAAGGAATCTTCCTTAAGTTCATCTGCTGTTCGACCAACTTTGGTTAAGGTAATTTTGTTGTCTTGTAAAATAAATAATGTAACAAGTCATTATATTTATGTTAACTTGCGTATTTTAATTATTGAAAGAACTTGCTGCAATTTTGTGGCAATAATTCTTGAAATCTGGTACGTATGGTAATGAAATATGGGATCCAAATGTCTGCCATCCATGGTTTCTTTTCATTGATTTGCTATTCACGTGCTTAGAAACATAGTTCCCGGCAACCTCCCCCACACCACTTTTGTCCGGATAAAGCTTTGTGGGCTAAACTTTATTGTTGTTCATTCTTATCTTATACTTGTCTGTACACTATCGTTATTCTCGTTCTAAACTTTCTAATCATGTTTCCCCTGGTGGATAATCTCTGGCATATTGCAGCCTCCAGAATACATGCCAGAAAATATAACTACGTATTCTGCATGGGTGGGAGGTGCCATACTTGCCAAAGTAGTTTTTCCTCAAAATCAGCATGTGACCAAGGCGGAGTATGATGAAACTGGGCCTTCCATTGTTCACCGGAAATGCTTTTGATGGAATTCATATGCATGATCTCCTCAAGCAGCCAGTTTCTTTACACCTGTATCAGTACATGTGATAGGCCCTCATTTGACTTTAGATTCTAAATGCTAGTCTTGCTAGATGTTCAGGTACTTGTGGGAATTTAAAAACTGTAGTGGATCTCCATTAACTAAATGCAATTGTATCGGGTGTCCCAGGCACTACAAGTAGATGATTTCAGTTAAGCATTGTTATGATAGAATCGTATATAGATATGCTGCAGCAATAATAACATTATCATTGTAATGAGCAAGCCTGCGAGAGTTGAGTTTGGTCCTCGGTGACTACTTGCACAGATTTTCTGCACCGCTTCTATTATAGCATATAACTAATTTTTACCTAGTAACTTGACTTTTTTTACCTTGTAATTTGTAATTCTTAGATCATAATATCGTTTAATCAGTCAAAACAAACAACACATTTTAAAGGCTATTAACATGATATAAAAGAATTTCAAACCTGCACAGGTATAAAGGAAGTGGTGTTTATTGTTTTGGTCAACAGAGGTGGTGTGAATGAACAAGTATACTGAATAATTGCAAATCAACTTTCCCTTAGGGGACATCCAATAAAGTTAAAACAATACCCGGTTGTAATAATAAACTTAGTGTACCTATGGTTTAAATGCAACTAGTGCTGAGAAACGCCAGCCAGATTCTCTTTCTTTAGCATGAAACCTATACCCTTGAACTTGCATTTAGGCCGATTCCATATTAGACTTCGAATATTTTGTCAATAGGTCTCATGGCTATGGCGAGTAAAATACTTATATGCCCTAATTAGTGTTGATCCTACCATCACCAATGCCAACTCATGTTCTTTTCTAGGTTCATGCCTTCTAGACATGTAATGGATATGTGCTAGACAACAACACTTTCAATTCCTATGGGGCTTGAGTAATTTTATATTAAACTAGCACTATTAAGCTATGCGTGTTCATCATGTTATAATATATTCAACCTGAACCAGTGTGGTAGGCATGCAAGCTCGGCTAAAGCACTTCCTTCAAGTTGCTATAGTATCATTATTATATTTACTTGATCTTGCTCTACCTTAAGTGTCAATGGTCCTCTTCAGTTTTTGTTTATCATTAAGTTTCAATGATTACTCTGCATGAATTGATGACCCATGACATGCTTTGAATTGAATTTATATATCTTATAAACTAGTATGAATTGAATTTATATTTCTTGCATGCTAATCTCTGGTTCTGATGGCCAACTACTTGGACGCCACCGCTGCATTGTGTTATGATTCTACTGGGAAAATGATAACTTGGTCGCCCAAGATGGAAAGAGATAGAACAAGGGTAGTTACCATTTCATATTTACAACGACTAAAACATTTTTAAGTCTTTGAAATTTAAAGTACTAATAATTTAATTCATAATGTTATAAAAAACCAGTTTAGTCTGACTGTCACGATCAGCAACTAATTTAATCCCTAAAATTGGCACTATCAGTCAATATGGTCTCTTAACATTATCAAATTAATCAATTTAGTTAAATTTAATAATTATTGTCAATTTGGTCCTTCAACTTGATAACTATAAATTAATTTGGTCTTGATAAGGTTCAAATTGATTGAAGTCAAGGATCAAAATGACTCAGAGTAAGATCATCTATTTCTTTCTCTTACTTTCTTGATAAGATCAGTTGTCATGGGTGATGTATATTTGTTGATTCGTTTACTTTCTTTCTTTTCTCAAGTCATCTATTCTCATCCTTCTTTAATGCATTCATTCTTGGAGTTCCATAGCATTTATTAACTCTTTCTCTAATCCTCTAACTCTTTCTTATAGTATTAATAATTAATACAAATGTAGTTTTTGAAAGACTATACATATTTTCTCATTAAACATTTATCAATGTCTTTTCCATAGTGATGTATTTTTTTTCCTTCGTAATTTTAAAAACTAAAATTAGAAAATTGTAATTTGTAATTTTGGATACCTGTTTGATATTTCTTCATCCGTGAACAATCCCATATTTTCAATGCTTAGGTTGATTGCAGTTGAATGAGTTCAACAGAAGAATTTATTTAAGACCTAATTTTGAATGAAATGTGTATTGTAAGATAGCATAAGACAAGTCCTAATTTTGTTGGGGAGCTTGGATTTTGAAATAGAAATATTAATTTGATTTTTTCTGTTTGGATACCAATTTAGATTTATATAATTGTAATTTTATAAGTCAATTTCATGATAAATTGAAAAGCAACTAGCATATGACCTTTTCATTTCTTCGCTTATATCTTAGGAGTAGGGATAGCATCTGTGTAAAGTGAGGGTGGAAAGCATTCAAATTCAAATATTCAAAAATAAAATGATTTCTCTTTTTATATTTATGAGTGGGTTTAAAATAATTATACCTTATGCTAAATTGAACTAATATTTGTTAGCAAAAAATAAAAAATGAAACAGTTTATTTTTTTATTTCCTCAACTAATCTTTTTCACTAAATTACAATTTTAATTTTAGTGTGTGGGTAAGAATTGTATTTGTTAACACCAGTCAAAGTTTTGCGTTTTATTTCTTTTAGTAGCCATAGATTCTTGACGACCATAACTGAAATAATATCTAAACAATATATTTCTCTTCGTCACAATCGTTAATTTGTGAAAAACTAAATTTAATGAAATTCACTGTTTTTATAAAAATTATCCCATATCCTCAAATATTTTTATTTTTTTACAACTATTTTTTTAAAAAACTAATGTTTTATGTTAGTAAATTGTGACAATTATATTACGTGTAATGGTTAGTTCCAATCGGAAGACACAACGAAAGCGACACAGCCAAGTCCGTAGGCTCCAAGTTGTCAAAGACAATGTGGACCAAACAAAAAAGTTGCCTTAAGACAACATAAACTCCATTGTACAGAGTCCCTTGAAACCGGATTAAAAAAATTAAAATAAAATCATAATTAAGAACAACGTTGTGTTACTCTTTCCCCACCCAACGTTTTAAGGTATACACTTTAAATAACATAATAAGTTCATATTTAATTATTATTTTTATTAAGGGAGTTTTTGACAAAAGAAAAGAAGAAATTATTCCAAACACATAGCAAATTATCCTTTGCAAGGAATTTAAATTTCAGGAACTTTAGCATCACTCAAAATTGATGATGATGATGAGAAACACTCGATTTTCATGCTTAACAAAAGGGTAGTTGAGAATTGAGATGTGGGATCTTGAGACTTGCACAGCAGAGAAAGAGACAGGGTACTTTGGTGTCATTTTCTTCTCAGCAAAATGGAACTAAACTGAATTATGTGTTTTATTTTGTTTTTCATAGTGATGGATGATGGAGATTTAAGATCCTAGAGGTTCCCCACTTTGAGTAGGCTCTAATAATTGGTCCACTCCCCAACTTTATTTTTGTGCAACTATGCCATGGACTGGAGGAACATATTCCTGCAAGAAAGAAAAAAATGAAAACAAATAAATGAACAAGACAAATCATTCCCTACTTTTTTCACTTCCAACTTTGTTTCTTCATTCACTCTAATAATTCAGAATGAAGACTAACTATATATGTCTATCTTGGGCATTATGAGGATTTGCAAATTGCATGTTTTTCTTTTATATCCTACCTCCATTTTCTTTATGAGTTCTATTACTGTGTCTGCTATGACCACAATATGCCTTGCAGAGTTTTCTATAAAACCCTCTTCCACTCCCTTATCAAATAGGCTCAACAAGCTATTGAAATACCCATCTACATTCAACAATCCCACCTGCAGATTCAATGTTGAAATGAAAATTAGTAACAAAACCCGTGTGCCAAATTCACAGCCATTTTAAAGCAAGTATAATCATACTGGTTTGTCATGTATTCCCAATTGAGACCAAGCTATCACTTCTAGCAGCTCTTCCATGGTTCCATAGCCTCCTGAACAGTGTGCAACTTTGATAAAATTTCTATTGATATAAAGTTAGTACCAAAATTTTTAAAATACTAAACAGAACATTGAAATTTTAAAGCTTAATATACCAGGAAGTGCTATGAATGCATCAGCTTGTTCATACATTATTGACTTCCTTTCATGCATATCGGCAACTGCTTTCACTTCTCCAAAAGTTTCTCCAGATATCTAAATGTGGGCTTTGATCAGACTCAGCCTTTCATGAGGAATAATTCAGATTGAAAGATGCATATGATCATAGTAATTAAAGATGAAATGGTACCTCAGGAGGCAATAGAGCTTCAGGAATCACTCTAACAAAGAGAATATAAACAATCATATTCATGAATTCGTAAAGGAAACTATAAGAATCTATACATTAAGAAAAAAATGTACAAACATACCCAAGAACATGGCAACCTCCATTTAACACAGTCTGAGAGATCAAACCCATTAGTCCTAAGCTTCCTCCTCCATAGACTAAATCAATTCTCCTTTCAACCTTTCAAAACAAATCAAATCAAGTAAACGACAACATACATGCAAAACCCCTAAAAGTATAAGAATTCTTTGATGATTTGGTAAACAACAGTAGAGTAGGAAATACCATCAATTTACCAAGCTCAAGAGCAGCATCACTGAATGCAGACTTGTGTCCAACTCTACTACCACAGAAAACACATATCCTTTTGAACCTGCTTTGGTTCTCATTTCCTGAAGACACCCTTCCTTCTTCCATCACTCCAATGTAATTGTAATACAAAAGTGCTAGTGAAATGGAAAAAAAAAAAAAAAGAGAAGAAAGTTGATACTAGGTGTGTGTGAGGGTAACAGATGGAGACACCCTTGTTTCCGAAACTTCACAATTTCATCCCTAAAGACTCTCTTTTATCTGCTAGAATTGAATTTGGAACTGCAACTATCCACATGTTTCTTTTATATGCGAATGAAATCTTTATGCTTCAGAGAATGAAAATTCTATACCATTCAGTAATTACATCTCAGCAAGGTGGGCCATGCATTATTGTGTTAGTACAAGTTTGATTGATGATTGTCATGTATAATTTGATATGAAAGATTTATGAAAAATGTTTAGAAGATATGTAAAGATACACAGAGATTTGAAAGATTTGGGGGAGTTCTAAAACATAGGTAAGAAATATGAGATCTTTATTTTGAATACAAAATCTAAATAGCTAAAATATGTTATAATATTTCTATTAGGGATTCTTATTTTTGTTTACAAATGAAAATAAGAGTGAGAAAAATATTACAGTATGTAAAACTTCATGTTACAAAGAATATTAACTAACAGTTAGCGCCTCTTAGTTTGCATGGCTGTGAAACAAATAGACAAAAGAAACCATGGTCAACATTAAAAATCACACGAATAAAAGAAGACAAAATTAAAATGAGAACAATTGAAGAAAGATAGATAGAGGATAGTCATACATAGGTTATTAAAATTGAAACTACTACTGCTACTAAAAATAATAGTAAATGGTTACTCAAATGTGCATATTATTGACCAATTTAGTGAAGATATACATAATGGACAACGTGCTTGGAATATGAGTTTAAATTCACTATCTTACTAGGCTTTGATTGGTTTGTTTTATACAAAGATCAGTTCTACCATATACCATTTTTTTTTCCATTGGCATTGATAGTGCCGCCACCAACAACTCTGAGATTCGTGACACTATCAAGCATAATCCAGAGTTGTCTGTCTTTTCCGCATGCTGACATTTTAGGCTATGCTTTGGCTGTTTCATGAATCTAAGATGATCATGAAGCAGTAAACGCACAACAATTACAATGAAATCACTTGAAAACATTTAATGAAAAACTATAAAAATAATGAATTTTACGTATTTTAATAAATTAGAGTTAATAATTGCTAGTATTTCTTAAATATTATTGCCAGTGAAGGGAGCATCTCATCCTAAAAGCAAATAAAAGATTATAGAAGTGAGAACTAGTGAGTTTTTCTAATCCTATTTAAGAAAGAGTCTCAATTCTAGATTTTCCTATACTCAATCAGAATTGACATTGCATTCTAACTAACAAGGGAGTTCATGAGTCAGGTAAATCTAATAATCTCATCCAATCTCTTACCAACTAAAAATAAAATTAACAGACTCAATTTGGTAATCAAGTCTATATAATTATATTAATAATTTTTTTTTTAATTTTTAACTTTATAATTGTTCAATTTTATGTACTTTACAAAAAAATTTCATTATGTTACCCAAGTCGAACCACCTTGTTCATGATTGAGTTGAGTTTGGTTTAGATCACCAATTGAAAACTAAGAAAAACTGACTCATCCTAACTCACTATATTTTAATCAAGTTGGATAGTTTTGTGTGTGCCAAAATCGACTCAACTCAACCTGTAAATACTCTTACTATTAAATGAGATTATGAGATATTTTGCTTTATGTCATAGTATTTTAATTATGATGGATGGTTTAATTTAGAATGAGATGTTTTAATATTTTCTTTTCCACGTTGAGGAAGTTTTCTATATTAATTTTTTTAGCATTATTTCTTTATCTATTTATTTCTTTGTTGTCCATTTTTTATTATAAAGGGAGGAAATCTATTTCTACATGTTAAATGTTAGTTACCATTTTTAAAATAAAAGTATTTTTTAAAAATAATCTCAAAAACTTTTTGAGGAATTTTTCTTTTTCATTGTGTCATGTCTCTAAGGTGATTTGTTCCCACATAACATTCAAGAAAAAGGAGTTATCATCGTAACAACAATGAAGATAAGAAGGAAGAGGAGAAGAACTAGAAGAGTGATATGGGAAAGGAGTAAGAGATGAAGAAAACATGAATTTGCAAATTTTTGTGAAGGGGATGGAAAGGACGTTATTCTTTCTCGTGAGTTTCTTGTTCGCAAATGATAACTTAACAAATAAATGAAATTTGCTTAATGATAACAAAAGTAAAAAAATAAAATAAAATTGCACAATAAAAAATTGAAGGATAAAAATTAAATATGAATTTATATTATCATATTATTTATATTTTAAAATAATTTTTAAATTTATTGTCTATACACCAATATAATTTCATTCGTTTATATTATAAAAATAGTGCAAGTCTCATGATAGCTATTGTTTTACTTTATTATCTAATTATTTGTGGAAAAATTTCAAGTTATTTTAACTAAAAACTAATAACATTTACATTTATTATATATATATATATATATATATATATATATATATATTAACGCTAATCTTTTATTTAAAACAATAATTAAGCAAAAAACAAAGGAATGAATTACCATATATATTTTACCAATTTATCTATGTTATAAAATTTTGTTTTTGAGAAACATGTTTATAATTTTGTTTAAAATAATAATAAAAAATAATACTTAGACTGTATATTTTTAAGATATTAAATCCATAACTATTTTTAATTTAATAATCATTTTAGTAATATGAAAATCCATAACATAATAAATATATTATAACTAATGAATTTAATATTTAATTGTGTAGTTTAAACTATATATTTTATTTAACAAATATGTTAAAATACAGTTAAGTTTTCTTATATATAGATTTATTGAATAAAAATTATTTTTAATTGAATTTTAGTAATAAAAAAACTATAATTTCACAAATGCATTATAATTAATGAATATAAAAATTTGATGTTATTATATAGATTAATTATATGTTATATTTAATAGATACATCATTTAATATTAAAATATACTTAATTTTAATCATAAATAAGTCGACAAGATTATATAACATTACAAGTGTAGTAAAAATTGGATAAAGATAAGATAAAATTAACTAAAAATATAAATTTTTATCTTATTTTATGTACATATAATGCATGTTGAGCAATAAATCTATATAAAAATCAGAGTCTATTCTATTTCTCTTTTTATATTTTATTTTTATGTTTTTCATTATGACTCTACTCCTCTCATTAGTCGTCATAGCTTGAACTCATTATTTTTCTGCTAACGTATTATTCATCCTTTCATCTCTTTATTTTGCTCAAGTTATTATTATAACATACATCAATCAATCACTATCGAGGATTGGTCAATTTCAGACTCAATCCACACCATACATACATGCATACATGCTCAAAATAAAGATCATATACATCTTCAAACACAATAAAAATATGTTTTTATTCAATGTATATTCAAAATCATGTATACATCAAAATATTTTTATGAGCACAAATATACCATGTTCTTAGTAATAAGATAGAACCATCCTTACTTTGAAATGAAAGTTTAGTAAAGGGTTTATGAGAGATTTTGTTCAAAAGGTTGGGTTCACAAGAAATCCTATTTAGAGGTGAAAAACAAAACAATAACCAACGGAATAGAGAATCAAGCTTCAAGAACTTACTAAAAAGCAAGAAAGTGAACTCTCAAGCTTAAATCAGAGAAAGATTGAAGTTTTGTCAAAGATTTTCTAAGAAAAGGGAGGAGAGAGGTCAAAGGAAATGGAGATGGGTCATCACTTGGATTATAATCTAGGTTTTTTAACTTGAAAATTGTTAAATACCTCTTAACTCGCGACATTCTCACTGCAGCAAGCTGTCTCTCGCTGCAACAAAAAAATCAGACAAAATTTTCCGCTTGTTGTTTGTCATTTTAGCTACAGCAAGAGGGTTTTAGAGAGACTTATTCTGGATGACTTCTCTCGCTACAGCGAGCCAAATCTCACTACAGGGATAAATTTTGTAATTTACACACTTAAAACTCTCCTAATTTCAAATAACATGCATTAACAACCATCACAAAATAAAAAATTAATAAATAACAAAAATAAGGGTGTTAAATAACAAATATGTTAAAATACAATTAAATTTTCTTATATATAGATTTATGAAATAAAAATTATTTTTAATTAAATTTTAGTAATATAAAAACTATAACTTCACAAATGCATTATAATTAATGAATATAAAAACTTGATATTATTATGTAGATTAATTATATGTTCTACTTAATAGATACATCATTTAATATTAAAATATACTTGATTTTACTCATAAATAAATAGACAGAATCATATAACATTATAAGTGTCAGCAAAAATTGGATAATGATAAGATAAAATTAACAAAAATATTGACTTTTATCTTATTTTATGTTACCTTTAATGCACGTAAAGTAATAAATCTATATAATATTAAAATTTGATGTTAAATTATAATTTCTTTACAATTAAATAGTTTTTGTAATAAATAGTAATTCAAACAAAAGAAATTATAAAATAATTTAAATTATATTTTATAAAATGAAAAAAATAATTTTATAATAATTTATTCTATGAAAAATGTATTTTTAAGAAATATTTTTTAAATAAATAATTTGTAAATACCAGATTAGTCATTTTTTTACAAAATCTAACTAAGCATTGATGTTATTTCATCCTTTTGTGATGATGAATATTTGAGAACGTCACAGAAGGATCACACGACATCAAGTCAACAAGCGTTAAATTTTGTATCAGAAAAAGTTAGTTAGAATATCACCAAGCACGAATACATTAACTTAAACACGAATTGCTAAGATTACATCTTCTAAAAATACCCGTACTACGAAAATAAGAATATATTTGATAATTTAATTTTGGAAGATAAAGAAAAAATATGCCTTTTTACTATCATAACTTTTTATAATAAAAATAAATAATTAATATAAATTTAATATATTATTTTTCGTATAAATATTATACAAATATTTGAACTTAAAATATGTATTTACCTTGTTCCCTAAAACTTAACTTCTAAATATATAAAATATTTTTTGAAATTACTAACCATTGCTACAAGAATTGCTTACAAAAATTAAAATTAAAATTTATTAAAAATGTCATAAATGTATTTTAACCATGATTGTTAATATATTTTAGCATAATTTTTTTTAATAAATGCCTTTAGGGACATTGATTCTTGTGTGAGAGAGAGGGGATTAAAGGGGTTTTGCCATTTAAAAGCTTACATTTACTCATTACATTGTCTGAAGAGTAACATTCTAAAATTCACATTCTATCAAAAATTAAGTATCAAAAGATTCCCTGCTCCCCTTTTACGAAACAAAACAAAGCATGATTAAATCTCCTAATAAGAGACAGAATCTTGTTAAATTAATACAAGCTTTCATGATAATATGAAATTAAACTTCATAATTATATAAGATCTCTTGCATTTACGAAATTACTACTGTTACAGAGAATCACAAAACAAATCCCTTAATGACAATAATTGAACTTGACAAGAACAAATGTTTTATTGAATTAATGGTGTTTTGAAATTGTTTTTGGACTACAATATAAATGCCTTTGTGCCTAGTCCTGAATAACTAATTTGGTATTTACAAATTCTAATAACTTCATGCTTCCTTCTTTGTTCGAGAATAACATTGAGGAAAAAACTTTCCCCTTTGGACATATTTTACATTTTCACATGAAGCAATGGTTCTGCCACTGTCTTGTGGTGTTAAAATCACATCTTGTAAGTATATTCCTTGGCAAGGAATGCTTTTGCTGCAGTTAAGTGCCACTGCAATTTCTGATGCACTTGTTCCTCTAATGTTCTGGTACACAATGTTGCTCAATTGCACTGCTGAATCCTGCCATTTTTCAATTCCAAGATGGTTGTGATTGTGACAATTTTTATGCAATTTTATAATGCCAAAATTTTAGAGCTTTAAAAATTACCTTCTCTTTGCATGGTTTTTCCTGGTCACAGTAGTTTTGATCTATGATTATGGGATTAGTCACATTTCGCATTGCTATATTCAGAAATTTGATGTTTTTTGCAAAGCCAGAACCTCCCTGTGGTGGGATTGAGTGAAAAATATGTAAGATATCATAATCAAAACACCTCTCATCTTTCAAAAAAAAAAAATGATCTTCCATTGTTACTAATTATGTATTGAATATAATGAAGAATCTCTCTCAATATTCTTTGTTAAATTACTTTGTAGGTTTCTTTAGTTTTACTTCAATATAATTTTGAGGTTTTGAATGGGTTTTCTTTGCTAGAACTTTTTGATTTTGTCCATACTTGCCGGCAATTGTTCAACACCCATTAGCAAGAAAGGATAAACTCATAAAAGTATAAGGTTTTTATCGAAAACTTCTAAACCATAAAGATGAATTTGAGAATGAAAGAAATTATTAAGAAAAAAACATAATTTAAACTTTTTGTTTAATGTTAATTTAGCTTATGCACCAGCGATTGAAAGAATATCTTTTATAAAACATTGACTATTAAATGCTTTGAGCATTAAGCTTTAGAAAATGTGGTGTTTTTCTGGCTTCAACCGTAAAGAATTTTGCCATGGGAATTGTCATGCAATCCCACGAAAAACAAATGAAAAAAAAATCTTTACTGGTTCGAATTTGTTGAGAGGTATGGATAGAAGAGAGTTGAACTACAATTATTTTTTAAAAAATAAATTGCTGTTGACTTGTGTGAAGAAAGTTGGGAATTGGTGGACTGCAAAATTGCCAAACTGGGTTGGTTGAAGTATTGTAGGTCAAAATTGGGTCAGTCAGAAGTGGTGACCCACCAGATAAAACTTGTTTCATGACTTTATAGGTCAAATCAAAGGTAAAAAGCTAATAAATTTGACATTTGCAAAACCTGGGTGCACTATTGCCTCATGTCACCAATCCCTGTATCATTGGTCAAATCCCAATATAATAGTCTCATTGTGCCTAAAATTTGGGCAATTTCTGATCACTAGTCCCCAATTCGTATAAAGTTTAATTATTTGTAAAGCCAAATATTAAATTAAGTGGGTAATTTCAATTCCACTTTTTGCAGTTTAAATTCATAAATAGCTTTTATTCTCAACCGTTTCAAATGTTGTAGAGTGCCTAACAGCAAAGTTCAACACTTACCTGCCATGTCTTTATCCTAACTCCATTAGTAGTTCCTGCTAAGATGGCTTTGTTTACCAACACATTAGAGACTTCTGCTTCTGAGTTACCAGCTCCTAAGCTTCCAATGCTGCAACATAATACAACATCATTATTTTTAACCAATCAATGTCTAATTCACCTAAAGAAAACTGCAACTTGAGTTATTTGCGGTATAATTAATTAATCATAATTACCTTATTCCATGTCCTGGTCCACATTTGATGTTTGTAGCTCGAACATTTTGGGAGCCACTTACTATGGAAATACAATCATCGCCTTCAATAAAATGGTGAGATAAACAAATTAGAAATTTTAAAATTGAAGTATTTTATTTATATTTATATATTTTTGTGTTGATTTTGGTTTTCACCTGTCCCAATTATACTGTTGCTTATGATAATGTTCTGTGTATCGGTGACGTGAATTCCATCTGTGTTTGGGCTGTCCCCTGGTGCTCTTACGATCAAATTGGAAGCTATAACATTGTTGCAGCTTTGAAACCTTACATGCATTTGCTGTGCATTTTTTAACCTTAGGTTTGTCACAGTCAAGTTGTTACATTCATAGAAAGTCACAGCCTATTTAATAAAATTTCAAAGAAAAATAGTTAGTATAGAAACAGAGCGCCGTGCATTAACATAAAATAAAAGTTCATCCTACGAAGAAAAACATAAACTTACTGTTGGCGCCCCTTTGCACGGCTGTGAAACAAAAGGAGTGTAAAGAAATAATGGTCAGTATCGAAAATCACAAGAATAATTATATATTGATATAGGATAATTAAATGTTGATAAAACCCAAACCATTAACCTATACTAATAATAATTATTATTATTATTATTATCTTTGGTTAATCAAATTCATTAACTTACAAGGCTTTGGTTAGTTTTGCATGAGCTATCCCACCATTTTCTCCCGTTGCCATTGATAGTGCCACCACCATCAACTCTGAGATTCGTGACGTTTTCAAACCTAATCCAGAGTCGTCTATCATCTTCATATGCTGACAATTTAGGCCATGCTTTGATTGTTCCATAGACCTAGTTAGCATGATGAAGCAAACACGAAATTGCAATTAGTTTTTTGAACATTAAAGGGTAAATTAAAATTAGCTAATTCATCACTAATTATTGGTTGAAATTTTTAGTCTCACCATGAAGGAAGTTTTGGGTTGGCATGGTCCTGAAAAAATTATTGGCTTTAAATGATAGACCTTTTTTTCAGGGACTACAAGAACACCCCCTTTAGAACATGCCTCATTCCAAGCCTTCTCAAATGCCTAAAGGAAAATATGAGAGAAAGAAAAGTAAAGTGAGAGATTGATGAGTGAATAGACTTAAATTAATATAATATATGTCTAATGTTATTAAATTACCTGAGTGTCATCACTTCCATTATAAGCTTTGGCTCCATAGTCATCAACATTAACCGTTTTGTGAGGCATTGTAGATTGGGTTGATCCATGACCCTTTTGCATGGTACCAAAATGTTGATGATTTTGCTTCATCAACCTCCCTGGCCTAGAGTAATGTTGATAGTTTGTTAGATGATATGTGTCCTCTAGGGGAGAGCCAAGACACAAGCCAAATGAGACAAAGACTATGATGAAAAGTGAAAGAGGTACACTTTGTGGAGACATTCTGATCATATGTTTTCACTTTATGGAAAAAAGGAACAAACTGAATGAAGGGAAGAAAAAGTTGGATGGATGATAGATAGATTTCTGGTAAATGCCAAAGCAAGAGTTATATATTTATAGGGAAGTTAGAGCTGGTTTTCTAGAGAGAGAATGAATTGTATGATAGAAGGAAAGTGTCATTATAGAAATTGGATGCTAGAGACTGAGACGAAACCAACACTGGGGTGTTACCAGAATTTGGAATCAATGAAAGTTTCAAAGAAAATTCGAATTAGTTTTAGTTGTTCATTTCGGGTGCTTTGTGCTTGTTTACCAACAATGTCAACCCCTTTGTGCTGCACATTGCTATTACTCATGTCTTTCTACCACCATATGTATGCAACATCAATTGTGCAGAGATTAATTACTTTATCAAAAAACCTCAAAGTGGGTAACATTCAATTCAATCATCGCAGACCAGATTTGCTTTTCATGCTTAAGGAAATTATAAATGTAAAGGGATTTATTTATTTTCCTAATTAACAACATTCATATTATAATCTCTTTATATATATACTGTTATTATGTAAATAGAGATTACACTATATAATATATAATTGATTAATATTGTAAAATATTATTTCGAAAACATGTCACTTATTAGATAGGAACTAAATCAGCTGAATTTAAACTATTTCTTTAGTAGATCAAACTCAAAAGGATCCAAGCTAAAATGGCGACTATAGAATTAAAATATGCGAATAAGGTTTTTTTCTCTCTCCAAATTATACAGATATTATAAATTAACATAATATATAAATTTGAATATATTGACGAAATAATGTTTTTCTAAAAATAAATATAAAAATATTAAATATTTGAAACTTTATTTGACAAGTTCTAACATTAATTTAATAATACAATATTGTTTTAGAAAATATTGGTAAATATTTTATTACAATGTTGATTGAAAAAGTATAAATTAAAATATTTAAAAACATAAAATCACAATTAATTGAATAATTAAGTGAAGAAGTAAATTTTGATTTGATGTAATATAGAAGCTTACAAACAAAACATGTGTCACAAAATTGAGACAGACATATATTAACCTGCATAATAAAAGGAAAATATGTATAAACATTTTGCCACTCTTAAGAAAAAGACTCAAATAAACTTTTATATTATATGTTTGAAGATTTATCTTTATGCTTTAAGACATCTATTATATTTTGTTTCTCTTTCTGATGCATGATTTCACTATTGTTTAATATATTTTTTTTATATCCTTTAAAATTTTAAAACATTTCCCTCTTCAAGTCTCAAATTTAATTACTTTTAAATTTTTATTTTTATATTAAAATTATCCATTTTTAATTACCTTTAATGATTCCTTTAGTATTAAAATTTGTAATATCATCTCAATTTTTAGTTGCTTTTACTCTCAAATCAGATATATTAATTTAAAGAATATTCTGTTTTTGTCTAAATTTAAGCTATTTATAACTTTTTTTTTTATTTAAGTTGACTATACATATTTTTTATTATTTCAAATATTTTAAAATAGAAAAAATTTAAAAATATCCATAAAATGCATACAACACTTGCTAGTTTATAACATAAGAATAAATTATATATACTCTTTGAAAATTTTTCGATTGCTTATGTTTTTACATACCCCAATTTTCAATTCAATCTCAAATCTTAAATATAAAATTCTCAAATTGATTGAGATTTAAGAATTAAAAATCATTAATTTTCAAATTGACTTTCATAAAACAAAAATTTCGAAGTGACATAGATTTTTAATTTTTATGTTAAATAATTCAGAATTAAGATTGAATTGAAAATGGAAATATATAGCATATGGAATTAAAACTTTTAAAATGCATGTATATATGCTTATATTTTAATTTGGCTAACATTTATCTTTTATATACGAACTAATCATATTCAAATAAAATAAAAAAGTAAGACTACCTTGGATATTCATCAGAGGATTTAATGCAATTTTCATAACCAAAAGCTACACTGTTTCGAAAGTACTATTTTTAATTTAATTTTAAAATTATTAAGAAAAATATGAATAGTTCATTTGATAAAGTAAAAGAATAAATAACTTAAAATTTGTATATATAAAGACAAATTTAAAAATTAATAGAATTTATTTGACAGTAAGAAAAAATTTAAAATTTGAGGTGATAAACAATCATAAAAATAATTATTTTAAGAAAATTAAATATATATAATTTTCAACAAACAAATAAAATTTTTAAAGTGAATAATTAAATTTAAGATATGAAAAAAATAAAAAGGTTAATTCCTAACGACTATAATTTAAAAATAATTCAAAGATTTAAAACTTTTATAAAGTGTAAAAGTAAATGTTAAATAACAATAAAATTTGTTATCTATGTTCTTTTTTTAAAAAAAGGAAAAATTCTACTTTCTTATGTCGTCTAGAACATTCTAATCAATTTTGTGATAATTTTTCTGGAATTATTAAATTCAAATATATATATATATATATATATATATATATATATATAAACCTTTTTATTAAATATATACTTAATACGATTAAAAAATTATATTATTAATAATACAATATAAATAATTAATAATAAAATATTTAATATAATATAAAACTGCAGTCGTATAGGTCCTAAATCTTGTATATTATTAAAATCTCTTCCACTAGAAATGCTATTTGGCATTAATTTTTTCAGTAAGAAATTCACATGATATTTTTATTTTATTTTTATTAAAACTTTCTTGTGTCATTTTGTTTTTCTTTTTTCTTTTAATTTATTTTGAAGTTATTAGTTTGACTATATAAGCATTTTTGTGTTGAGCGTAGAAAGAATGTTTAAGGTGAGATAGAATAAAGTACTCAATCATATTACGGTGATATTTCCATTTATGGTGCGTTAGGCGACACATACATGGAATTGGTAGCTATCCACTCACAGTATGTTGAATAAGGAACAACGACTTGCACTACAAAATCTTCAAATAATAAAGACTTCGATACTTTCTATTGTTTTTTCATCTTTTGACTTCTTAATTCTCTTTTATCTTTTAACAATTAACTTAAAACGATTTCATTGAAACTTATATTTATTGGATTTATTAAATATTATATATCTATATATTTATTGCATGTATAACCCCTTATATTAATAAAATTTATTTAAAATTAATAATAAATAAATATAATCATGATAAAAATTAATTACTTAGCAAATATATATAGAGATAGAAAAGTTATTACATATTAGTATTTAATGTTATATTTGTAAGAAATATATTATACAATTAACTTTAAAATGTTATATTTATTAATCATAATATTTTTATAAGATTTATTAAATATATTATTTGATTATTAAATTTATGACTTCTTAAATTACTTAAATTTATTTAATAATTACTATTAAACATAAACTATTCATTACAGAATTTAATAACTACGTATATGTATAAATAAATTTTTCTACATACTGGTATTAAATATCAAACTTATTAAATGTAATACATATTTCATTAATATAATGCTATTGAATGTTATATTTATTTATCATAATACATTTATTAGTTTTTATTAAACATACTATAGATCATTAAAAATATTTGAAAAAAATCATTAAATTTAAAAAATTATTATAATATTTAAAAAGTTTAAATTAAATGTAAGAGTTTAGATTTACACTGATAAAAGAAAATTCTTTTCTTATATATTATAGATGCTATATATTATAGATACGTTAGCATAGAACATTATATCTATTAGTAAGGAATTTAGTTATTTCAAGAATAGTTTTAATTAACTTATTGAGTTATATATTATATTTTTGTGATTATGCTGTTAACATTTATTTATATTTTAAAATGTGTATTGTATTTTAAAATTATTTTATTTGATGAAGTATAAAATAAATTTAAACTTAACTGGCCATAATATATATAATTCAACTTTGTAAGTCAATTAATTAATAATTTTGGACACAATTTTCACTTATAGAAAATAAGACACTAGGATGACAAAAGGGTCAATCTACCTCACCTTATCCCGTCTTGTTATGAACTTCTGAAGTTCTAAAAAAATAACTAGGTTCAACTCGTTCTATTTTATTAGCGAGATGACCTACTTAAAATTATAAAAAAAAATTATAATAATTAAATTATATATATAATTAAACTCTAACTTACATAATAACCATTTTTATTAGAAATAAAATTCAACTTTTAATATTTATTAAATTTATATATGTAAAAAAATAATATATAAAAACATTATTTTAAAGATTTTTATTATTAAATTTATAAAATATTTAACTCAACGTGTGAACTTACCTTACCTTCGTCTAACATGTTTTAAAATGTAATATAAGTACATTTCAATCCACTCCGCTAAATGCAAGTTAGGATGAAATGTTTGGGACACGTCGTAGTGTCAACGTCGAAGCAAGTTTGTTTCTGTTTCCAGGTACGGTCAGTTTCAAGTAAATGAGAATTGGTAAAAAAATATTGCAAATTGGAGAAGATGTGGGTCTAGTAGTACATAGAAATTCTATGAAAGTGATTAATAAATTAGTTAAGATGGAGGCAAGGGATAGGTAAGAGGCAGGTTGTAGCATTCTAATTTTTATTTCCTCCATGTTCATGTGTATTAACATGATTTTATCTCTTTTAAAAATAATTCAATGTATTTTACAAAATTTTAGGATTTTAGTTAAAGAAGTTTTGAGATAAAAATATTTATTTTTATTTCATTAAAATAATTCATCTTTAAATATATGTTTGATTTATTTGAAAGATGAATATTCTCAATGCTTTGGATTATTTAGAAATTCCTTAATTATATTTGATTTGTAAATATTATATGCATTGGCAAAGGTGGTGCAGTGATAAAAGGGTTAGCCTTTAGTTTAGAGTTGGAGATCTCAAGTTCAAACCCGAATGAATCTCTTCCCTGGCTTGGTGGTAATTTTGTTTCTAAATAAAGGAGAAAATCTCAT